TGTTTTCACATGCTCTTAGGTTAGATTTCAAATGACTCAAATTGGCGTAGGAGGCCTTTAGGATCGGACCCCCCAGCCTACCTTTCCAGCCTTATCCTCACACCTCCCCTCCTTGCCTTTTGCTGGACCCTTTCTCAGTTCCTTTGGTCAGCCTTCCTTTCTCTCTCACCTTTGGGACTTCATAGGTGCTGTTCCCACTGCCAAAATGAATGGCGCTACTTTTAGGTGGTTTTTCAGACACCAGCGAGACAGTCTGTCATCCTGAATGTTATCAGTGTCAGATGATGTAAGGTGTAAAGCAGTCTTTGCTCCATTAACAATGCATTTCATCATCCAGACAAAATCTGGCAAGGTTTCAGGAAAGTTTAGAAATTCTTGAAACTTAAACCTCTCCTATGCCCTATGCTTTTAAGAATTTATATATACTTTTCCTTCTCCTTGAATGCTTAATGAGCCCTAAACAATCCTTAAAACCCCAGGTGTCAATTCCACTCTGAAAATGTCCCTTACCCTCCCATTAACAGAACTGTACATTCTTTTCTTTGCAGGTACTATATTATGCTATGCCATAACTCTTACTGTGCTCTTATTTTCCAAGCAATAAATACACATAGCTATTTTAAAAATGAAAGAGGATTTTGCTTATAGTAATGGCCGAATAACTTATTGCAGATGAACCGTCTCTCAGAAAAACCACTAGAAACTCTGGAAAAACATACAAAAACATCTGTTTGAAGGCATTGTAAAGACACCAAGGCATGAGCTTTACCTTGATGAGTAAACAAAGAATGAAAGCACAGAGAAGTGAGTGCAATGTTGCATTTGCCCTCAAGGCATTTTTAAATTTGTAAACTATCGTCCAGAAGCTGAGAAGCTGAGCAGAGCTTCCTGAAATCTCATGGGTCTGGGAAGATTAAAAAAAGCACAGTTCTGAGCCCAAGAAACAGCGATGTCCTGGTAAACACCACAGATGTTTGGATGGGAGGCACAAAGGACTCCCCCCTAAAAGGAAAGCTGGAAATAGACTGCACTATCTCCAATCAGTTCAGTCCCTCCTCATATTACGGTGATCTGCCCCTATCTTAACCACCTGCTGGGAGCAAAGAATAATCCTCTGTACGGAAAGAAACACAAGCTGGAGCCTCAAATCATCTCTACAATGTAAATGTAAATGATTAGCAAGATAGATAGATAGATAGATAGATAGATAGATAGATAGATAGATAGATAGATATAGATATATTTCTCACACCAGGAGGTAAAGACCAATGGCTGAAAACAAAGAGGAGAAAAAACCCAGACAATACAAACAGGTCCATACATGATTCTGATATTGGAATTATTGGGACTGGACATTTAATAACTGCGATAAAGATGTTGAAGAAATTTGATGATTAAATAGAGAGTTCCTGCAGAGAAATGGAAACAATAAGAAAACAATCAAATGGCTCTAATAATACTGAAATATATGACATTTAAAATAAAAAACTCCACAGAAGGGGATGAAAGCAGAATAGACACAACTAAAGAGAAGAATCATGAGCTGCAGATAAATCAAAAGAAAAAATCAAGAATGAAGCATAAAGAAGAAAAGGTGTATCCTGGCTGGGTGACTCAGTTAGTTGGAGCACTGTCCTGTACACCAAAAGGTTATAGGTTCAATTTTCAGTCAGAGCACCTGCCTAGGTTGTGGGTTCGATACTGGTCAGGGCACATATGGGAGGCAACCAATCAATGTTTCTCTCTCACATCAGTGTGTGTGTGTGTGTGTGTGTGTGTGTGTGTCCCTTCCTCCCTCTCTAAAATAAATAAAAAACATATCGTCAGGGGAGGATTAAAAACAATAATAAGAAAAATTATGGAAAATATAGAAAAGAGCATAGGAGACACACCAAACAGTGAAAATGACTAACTTAAGTGGTAACTGAACTCTACAAAGAAGACAAAAAAAAGGGGGGGGAGGGCAGAAGCAATATTTGAAGATACAATGGTTGAAAGTTAAAAAAAAAAGCTTTGGTAAGACAACAAATTCCACTTTTAAGGAGTACTACAACCCAAAGCAGGATAAATATGCAAGAAAATTCCTCTGGGGACATTGCTTGAAAATCAAAGGCTGAGAAAATTCAAAAAGCAAGTAGAGGGGAAAAATAAAATCACATTACCTTTAGAAGAGTAAACTGACAGCTGACTTCACAAGAGAAATAAAGGAAGCCAGAGGACAATGGAATAACATCTTCAAAGGCTGGAAGAAAATAACTGCCAACCTAAAATTTTATAATAATTGAAATTATCCACCAAAATTAAAGGCTAAACAAAGGCATTTTTAGAAAAACAAAAACTGAAGGAATTGGTCACAGTAGACTCAGACTAAAGGGAATAATGAAAGAAGGTCTCCAGGTAGAATGGAAATAAGCCCAGGTGGAAGAACAGAGAGACATAGGAAGGAATGAAGAGCAATGGAGATAAACATGGGAGTGAATCGATCTATACCTACTGCATGAAGCAATATTGAGACGGAATTGAGGAGATTAAAATGTATGTGGAATTAAAACACACGGCAATGAATGAGTTGGAAAAAATGTAAATATAATTTAAGTGTCCCAAGATTCTTGCACTGTCCGGAAAGAGGTAAACATGGAAAATTATATTAGACTTTAAAAAACTGTAATATTCAATGAATGTACAACTAACAAGTTAATCAAAAGGAGAGAAATAGAATTGAACAAATACATATAAATCTGAAAGAAAGCAAGAAAGGGGAGAAAAAGGAACCTAGAACAGCTAGGACATAAAGAAAATAGTAGGATGATAGAATCAAACTCCAATATAATCAGTAATGGCAGTATATGTAAATAGATCAAATATCCCAATTGAGAGAAAAAGATTGTCACACAAAATAAGAACTTCTCCCTCCACCAAAGAGCAGCTACATGATACTGACAGGATACACATTAAATATAAGCACTCCGAAAAGTTCAAAGTAAAAGGATGGGAAAGGATGCATCATGCACACTATAATGAAAACAAAAGCTTCTATGCAGAAAACTATATAACAGTACTGAGAGAAAGGAAAATCTAAATAAATGGAAGAACATAACCCATTCACAGATTAGAAGACTGTGATAAAAAGTCAATAATTTGCCATTTACCCCAAACTGATTCATGTAACTTCAATTAAAAAAACACAGGGTATTTGTGGGTGGGTGGGTAGAAACTGACAGGCTGATTCTAGAATTGATGTGGAACTATGAAGGGCCAAGAATAGTCAATACTAACCTGAGGAAGAACAGTGTTGGAGGACTTACATTATTAGATATTAACGCTCAGTATATATAAAACTGTAGTAATTAGAAAAGTGTGATACTAAGAACAGGCAATTAAAGCAATGGAAAAGAAACAAAGGATCAGAGACCGACTTGCACATATATGTGCTCATTTAATTTATAATAAAGTGCCACTAAAGACTACTGGGTTTCAAAAAGTAGTGCTGGTTCAAATGCATAAGCATGTGGGAAAAAAACTAAAGTAGGAAAGTAGGACCCTATTTGCACGTCTACAAAACTCAATTCCAGATTGACTACACTTCTAAATGTAAGAAGTAAAACAATAAAACTTCTAAACTGTAACAGAGGAGAATATCTTCATGATTTTGGAGAGGCACAATTTTAAGTACTAACTTAAAGGAAAAAGTACTAACCATAAAGGAAAAGAAGTGTAAATTGGACTATTTTAAAATTTAAATTTTGTTTTTCAGCAAACACCTTTATGAGAGTGAAAAGGTAAGCCAAGATACAAGAATATACCTAAGCCACATGGAATTCATACAAACAAATAAGAAAAGGATAGAAAATTCAAATTTTTAAAAATGTACAAAAGACATGAACAGGCACTTCACAAAAGAAGTTACCCAAATGGCCAATGAAAAGGTCAACTGCATTGTTCCTCAGGGAAACACAAATTCAAACCACAATGTGCCGCTGCTCCACACTTAACAGAATGGCCATGGCTGACAATACCAAGTGGTGACAAGGCTGACAGGACAACTGGGTCCTTCGTTACGGCTGGAAGGAGCGTAGCTGAATAGCTGCACAGCCCATGACCCAGCAATGCCACTGAGCTGCTGAAAATGTTCCATTACTCAATCTTGATGGTGGTTTGGGGGTGCATTATATTTGTGATAACTCATGAAGGCATACATTTAGGATGTATGCTCTCTTCTGGATGTATATTTACTTCAAGAGTAATGTATATCTCAAACAAACAAAAAACGTCAAGCAGTAGCACAGAATAACAAAAGCAACAATCCATACCCACTCCTCCCCGATTCCTACTCCTAGAGCCACTCAGTTCTTATGCTTTCTTCTGATTAATGTCATATTTTCAAGCGATGGGCTTACATTGAAACTCCCGTTTCCATTTTAGATTATAGCTATAGATGTCCTCCTGGGTCTACTTCTGACTACACGAACATTTCCTTTCTTTTACAACCTGGAGTTTTTCCTAAAGTGGATCACTACACAATCTGCTCCTTACAGTGTACTCCTGCCGTCTCCAGTACTCAGCCACCCCTCTCCCGGCAGACCTTGAGGCTTTTATTTATTTGGCTCTTTCAGTTATTACTTATCTATCTCCTTCCATAGTTGAAAATTTCATTGATATCTTATTTGTTATAATCTCCTCTTTTATTCTCTTTGACCTTTTTACCCCCCTTTTCTTTAGTGGGATTTCAAGAGTCATGGGCCGGTAGTCCCAGAAGTTTATAATTACTGTTTGCTTATAGTCTAATAGGGGTGTGATCCACTAATAGTTTTTTTTTGGGGGGGTCATATTTTATTAGGTTTTTGTGTGCAGAGCATTAAGCCAAGTAACAAGCATGTGGAAAGTGCTTGAAAACGGTGTTGAGCTGCTAAAAAAAAAGTCAGGTTCACCGTAAAGTCAATGAATTCCCACCCGGCGGTCTGCCCCTGGCCCCATGGCATCGGGACGGGCGTGAGTCTCACCTGTGTAGTGCTCATTGCCTTGAGCAGCGCAGGTCAGGAGCTGCGCCATGGAGGAGCCCACTGCTTTAGATGTACTTCCCAGGTCCTGAGCACATTTTTCCAGCTGCAAGAATATTCAAGCGGGGAGGGAACTTAGAAGAAAAAACATACCCAATGAAATCTTAGCATAAAAATAATGCAGACCAAACTCAGGGCCTTAGTTCTTTCCCAACAAATGCACCAGTGGTGCAAAGAAGTGGGGTGATGGCGGGGGGAGGGGGAGAGAACCCTGCTCCAAGCGCGAACCTCTCCAACCTCAGCTTCTTAAGATGGTAATACCTTGCTCAGAAGGTTTGCAGAGAATTAATGTACATACTCAACAAATGGTAGCTATTAGTATTATGCCTTTAGAGCTAATTTAGAAAGTCTGCAACAAATCCTTAGTGAGAATTAATTATCCCTTGGCAGGAAGTGGGCAGACATCCAGCGGTACCACCTTCCTGGCCTGTGGGACCATTAACATTGCTCAATTTGATCATTATACTTTGAGGAGCTCTAACCAGAAGGAAATGCAATAGAAATGGAGGTTTGGAGTGGTAAATGAGATTATGAAAATGGGCAAAGTGCTTGCTTCCCATGAACAGCATGTCATCTTGCTTTGTAAACGGAATAAATAATTCAGGGAACAAAGTCAGTGAAGGCCTGGGGTCTGGGTAATTACTTGATTACTAGATGAGGACAACGTTTTGGAAGAGAACTTCTGGGTGTACTGCGAGGGTGCAGAGAGGCATCAGAGAATCGGTGCATTTCTAATCCCATAGGTTTTGCAAGAGAGGCAGGCCCTTCAGATGAAAAATAGAGCCTGGTCCATTACAGCCAACAGTATGTTATAACACATACACACATTTTTAAAGGGCAAACGATTTCCTTAAAATTTACATGGTGTTTCCTACATGCTAACTGACCAGTTATTTTATGTGAAGGCAGAATTCACGTCACGCAAGCCTCTCCTGGTCTCCCAGAACCACAGAAGTTTGCAAAGGGAGAGACCTGGACCACACTGCAAAACTGGTGGCCCAGAGCCAAGCCTGACTTCATCATTAGCTGGGTGACTTTAGTTAAGTGACTTAACCCGAGTTTCCTAGTCTTTACAATTAGGGGTAGCCTGATGGAACAAATTTTTTCTGAGTGCTTCTTATGTTCTAGACCAGTGATGGCGAACCTATGACACGCGTGTCAGAGGTGACACGTGAACTCATTTTTTTGGTTGATTTTTCTTTGTTAAATGGCATTTAAATATATAAAATAAATATCAAAAATATAAGCCTTTGTTTTACTATGGTTGCAAATATCAAAAAATTTCTACATGTGACACGGAACCAGAGTTAAGTTAGGGTTTTTCAAAATGCTGACAGGCCTAGCTCAAAAGGTTCACCATCACTATTATAGACATTGCTCTAGTCTATGGTAAAGTAGGTGTTCCTGAAGTCCCATATATTCTAAAAGTGTTAGTTCACCCAAAGAGCAGCAGTAGTTTTAAGAGATCACTCCCAACATGAGCGACTACAAGCTTTAATTCAAACCTTTATTCTGCCAATAACTGGACAAAACAGTGAACACATCTACACCTGTTTTCTCAGCTGTTAAGATGGGGTTAACAAAACTTGCTCATTAAGGTTACTGTCAGGACAAATTTTATTTATGTGTGTATAGAGTGCTTAATAAATGGTGGTATTTTATTAGTGATGTTCAGTAGTGTGTAAAGGAGGTACATATAAATGAGGAGGATTGGTAAACTTTAACCAAGAAAACCCTGACATAAGCATCAGGAGGTAGCCTAACATGAAAACTGCTAAGTAAATGTTTTTTGTTTTGTTTTTAAACATGATTATTGGGAGTATCTCCTGTACTTTTCTTTATAACCTCATTGCCACTCATTTCCTAGTAAAATACCTGAGAGGAGAGACGAGACTTTATAGCGAGTTGATGATACAAGCTGCATCTATTTTTTTAAATTACGTTTTCTTTTTATTGTTGTCATTATTATAGATGTCCCCCAACTCCTAGTTCTAAACCCAGCTAGTCAGCTGCACTGGCCTTCTTAGAAAAAGGCCGCAGGATGAGAACGCTGGCCTCCAGCACTGGCATGTGTCTGGTGTATGAAGGAGAAGGGTGAATCTAACACGCCGGTTCATGCCCAGCCAGACCGGAGAAGGGCGCTCACAGCACCAGCAGCAGGGCCCTCGGGCAATCCCTACCATAGGGCAGCTCTAAAGCAATGTGGCTGCTCTGAGGCTTTGCATTCAAAATGTTTGACTTTCGGGCACACCAACCCCAAAATGAAAACCGCTTCACACGATTAGAACAGAAGGCAGACCCCAGCCCACCTTACCGTCTCGCCGGGAAGCGGCTTCAGCTGGCTGTCCGCGGCTGCCATCTTCGCATCCTGCAGCTCGTTCTTCAGGGTCTGCACGGTGCTCAGAGCGGAGTCGATCTCCATAGGGCCGCAGGCTTCGTGGGCCTGTTGACAGAGTTGGGAACATGTGTACACAGTTGGCTTGGAAAAAGTGTCCCCAGTATTTTGGAACATCTGACGTGCCTTCTGGACGTACCCCCAGTGAATGTCCCACTCCAGCAATAGGAGGCAGGCAGGAAGCATTTCCCGAGAGGGCAAAGATCATCCGCAGTCAGAACCTTAGTCCTAACTTCCTCAAATAGTAAGTTACGTCTGCCTCACAACTGGATAGACTTCTAGTCTCCTTGAAGCTGTTTTTATCTGAAATGCATTTGCTTCTCAGACTAAGAGGACCCTTATTCACTGTGCCTGGGTTCTGGATATAGGGCACCTAGCTCAGTAGGTGTGCACAGAGAGGCTGGGAAGCACGTGGTGAGCACTTAAATGAAGGAAGGGAGGAAGAAATGAATGAATAAACCCAGGACTTGGGGCCAAAGCTTTATCAACCTCATTGATTCTCTTTATAAATTTCTAGATTATAAACCATTATCCTTTCATACCGAAGACTACGAAAGATTTTTTTTTCCTTAGTAATTTGTTTTAAGAAAATTTTATTCTCTTGATCATTTAAAATATTGGTCTCCAAAGGTGTTGATCACCCCCATATACATATCTTAATCAGTTATATGTATGTATAATTATGGAACAGTGTATTAAATACTGGTATAATTTCTTTCCTTTTTAAATAGTTAACAACAGCAGCAATAAACACTAATTAGTTTCTATGTGCCAGTATTCCACAGTGAGGAAACTGGGGCAGAGAGATTCATTAACTTGCATAGGTCACAAAATTAGTCAATGGCAAGGCCAGAATTTGAACACAGGTAGTCTGACTCCGGAGTTGATATCCTGCACTCTTACACTAAGTAAAAAAACACTTGAGCCCTGGCTGGTGTTTCTAAATGGATAGAGCACTGGCTCTCGCACAGAAGGGTTGCAGGTTCGATTCCTGGTCAAGGGCATGTACCTGAGTTGCAGGTTTGTTCCTTTTCCTTCTTCCTTCTTCCTTCCTTCCTTCCTTCTTTCTTCCTTTCTTTCTTTCTCTCTCTCTCTCTCTCTCTCTCTCTCTCTCTCTCTCTCATCTCCCTCCCTCCCTCCCTTCCACTCTATCTAAAAGGCAGTGGAAAATCCTTCCAGTGAGGATTAACAAGGACAAAAATACTTGAAAGCTCTCAGTGTCTTCCTGCACTCAGTGGGCCGTCTTGCTTGAGCCCACGGGGAGGCTGACTGCTCCAGAGCCGTAGTTTAAGGTGTGCGTGTGTCTATGACTCATTGAAAAGCCCTTAAAGCTCAGATGTTCAGGTTCTATGCCCAGATATTCTGGTTCGGCTACAGAGGCCAGGCCCAGGATCCTGCATTCTAAGTGCCCCAGCTGACCCTAGTACAGATGGTCTCTGGACCTCTCCTTGAGAAACACAGCTCAAAGTACTTCACTTGGATATAATCTAAATATCTGGGTATTTTTCTTTGGTGATGCAGTGCACTGTTGATATTAATTCAAATCAGCTCCTATCCTTCTTCCCTTGCTCCTGGATGAGGCTATCTGTTTCTACACAGGGATTATTACAGTGGGGAGAAATGAATTCATGCCAGAACGTCTTGGTAATGCCACATCAAACAGTGTAGTAATGAGGCCTCTGGTAATTAATAAGTTCCAGAGACAGAAACTCATTAATCCCTAATTCTGTTCAATTGAGGACCTTATTAAGGTGAATGCTTCCATTTAAGATGTGAAAAACTTTCAGAGCAAAAAGATAATATAAATGTCCCCTTCCCCCCACCCCCAGCCAAAACAACTAGATTTGCTGCCTAAATAATTTGTTATTAAGTTCACAAGATGATGGAGGAAGTATGATCACTTTGGCCCACAATTTACCTAGCACCAAGAAACTGATGACTACCAGGCTCCCCTAAGACTCTGAAAACAGACCACTGTTTGACCAGGGTATGAGAGGAGGGGGAAGTGTGCAACCTAAAATAATTTAACAAAGGTCATCTGTAGCCAGAAGGTGAACAATAACTCTAGGAGACTGTGGCTAAAAGTGGTAAAAGCCAATGTACACGGAGGGCATCTTTAATGGTATTGCAAATGCATGGACAAGAAATATGCCCAGCAGTGCTCAGGCCCTGGTAGCACCCGGGTTACACAAGCAGGAAGGAATTCAAAGCGCCATTCCCAATGAGCTAACCGCTGTGACAAGGGGCCCACTTGCCTTCTGCGAGGCAGTCCGCAGCTCCGCCAAGCTGGTGGCAAGATTCTTGGCGCACTGGCTCAGCTGCATGGCGGCAGCCTGGTCGCTCACCGTGGGCACTGCGGCTTTGGCGGAGGACACCATCTTGCTTCCAGGCTGTAGAGAGAGGGGCAGAATATAAGGCAGCTCCTGGAAAGTAAGGGAGTTGACCCCAACAGCAAGGCCACATCTCAGCCAGAACTTACTTTCCCTGAAACAAGGAATATTAGAACCATATACACTCCCCCCACACCCCCCGAAAATTCCCACCCCAAATCAGATACTCTAGGGCAGTACATTCTAGGAATGTAAAATAAATACATAAATAAATGGATGTGTCATTGGGGAAGGGGTAAAATTTGGATAATGACTTGAAATTCTCATTTAAAACAAATTTCAGAGAGAGTTTCTTATTAAATATGGTTCTTTGTGTTTCTCAGGATAGCTCTTTAACTGAAATATATACAAAGATTATTTTTTAAAAATATAGGCAGACAGCCTGGCCAGTGTGGCTCTGTGGTTGAGTGTCGACCCATGCACCAGGAAGTCACTGGTTCGATTTCCTGTCAGGGCATATGCCCGGTTTCAGGCTTGATCCTCAGTGGGGGGCGTGCAGGAGGCAGCTAATCAGTTTCTTTCTCTCTCTCTCTCTCTCCCTTCCTTTCTCAAATCAATAAAAACATATTTTTTTAAAAAAAAGCTTTAGTCACAAAAATTGTAAAATGTCTAAAAATATAGGCAGGCAAAAATGAAACAAATAAAATGACCTATTTTATTTCTCACTACTCAGGATAATTTCATCATGCATGAATTGTCTGTTCTCATGTACAAATATTTTCAAGAATAAGATCATGCATTTATCCTATTTTCAAACTCCTTGTTTTATATATTCTATTTTTTTATTAATCCTCACCTGAGGATATTTTTTCGATTGATTTTTAGAAAGGGTGGAAGAGGGAAGTAAGGGGAAGGAGGGAGAGAGAGAAACATTGATGTGAGAGACATTGATTGGCTGCCTCCTGCATGAGCCCCGACCAGGGCCGGGGATTGAACCTGTAACCCAGGTACCTGCCCTTGACTGGGTATTGAACCCGTGACCCTCTGGTGTATAGGCCAATGCTCTAATCACTATGTAAGGCTGGCCAGGGCCATAGTCTATCTTTTAAATAGCTAATGGTATTACATTGTATATATCTGTTAATATTTCTCAATCCTGTATTGTTGGGCATATTTTCATTTTTTCAATATAATAAACAATGGTATGATAAACACCTTTGTAGCTAACATTTTGTACATGGTCATAATTTTTTGAATAAACTTTTAAAAGTAGAATTTCTGGAACAAAGAGTATACACACTTTTAAGGGTTTTATTACACAGGCTATACATATGTCCTTATAAAGTTGTAACAAAGCTAATTGCCAAATCATAAATATTAATATTTAAAGAATTCATGCCCTGGCTGGGTGGCTTAGTTAGTTGGAGCATCATCCCATACACCAAAGATTGCAGGTTTGATTCCCGGTCAGGGCACATACCTAGGTTTCAGGTTAGATCCTCAGTTAGGACATGTACGGGAGGCAATCAATCTATGTTTCTTTCTCTCTCTCTCTCTCCCCCTTCCTCTCTCTAAAATCAATAAACATATCCTTGAGTGAGGATTTTTAAAAAGTTACAAAACAAATAAAAGAATTCATGAGAATTTAAGAAAAACCAGCATGAGTATTTAAAAAAAATTAACAAATAATTTCACATAATAAAACAAATAACTGAAACATGAAAAATGTGTATTTTCAAACAAGGAAATACAAAATCAACCAATAAGAGCTTAACCAAGCAAACTGGCAAAAACATTTTTTTAAATGCTTGATTCCCCAACTTGAAAAAGATGTATCAAAAGGTGTGTTCCATACACTGCTAGTTGTAGATTTGGATTTGTTCAGCTTTCTGAAAGGGCATTTCACAATATGTATGAAGAAAGTTTAAAATGTAAAAACTCTGAACTGCCAACTCCATTTCTATTTATTTCTAACTCTGCCTTAGTCTTGTAAAGATCTGATGGGTCAAAGATAACAAAATTAAAAACAACAGAAAAGGGAAAGGAAAAAGAAGGGCAGGACAGAGTGGACCCTGGAACACGCACACACTACTCTGTCACAGTCTCTACAGTCCTGCCAGCAGGAGAGATGACACACCTCTAACCACCTGAATGAAAAGAGAAACACCTACCTGTCCGAGCTATAATTCTCAATGTCCCAATAATAAAAACAAGCCGATGGCAATCCTATTTCTAGAAATTTACCCCAAGGAAATAATTGAAGGGGGACAAAGGCCTGGAACACACACGGAGACTTTCATTCTATCCCTATCACAGGTTGTTTATGATGGCAAATAATGGAAAACAACCTATTTGTTCAATGACAGGAAAATAGCTAAACATTGAGTATTGCCAGATGATAGAATGTTATTCAAAATCATAAATGCTCATAATATACTTGTTAACATGAGAAAAACAGTCTATATGTGATGAATTTCAATTAAAAATATATACATACATATGCATGTCTGTGTATGTAGTCAAAATGAGAAGAAATACATTGCACTTTTTATCTTCTATCTGCATGTGGGATCTCTGACACTTGAAAAAATTAACCAAATGTATGTAACCATGAGTTCTGTAACTATAGGTTCAACTAGACAGGGCCAAGGTAGAGAACGGCCTAATCACATGAACTCTTTCTGGGATACAGGTAGACAGAAAGAGCTGAGAGATCTGAATACAAGAAGTATGTAAAAAGGGAGTTTTCCCACAACTTCATATTCTGGTTTAATTTAACTTTCCTTAAACTAAATCCACCCCTCACCCACAAAGACTGGCAGTACTTATTCATTCTACTGCCATAGGAGACTGGCATGCCTTTGAAGAAGATGCACTCGCCATTCCTGGTCTCCTTGGCCATGAATAATAGCATTAGACATTCTGGAAACTAGAAAACCTACAGCAATGCCCAGGACTAGGCTGTTCATCAAACCTGCAACTTATTCCATGCTTTCTCTCACAGGAGAGAAAGAAAGTGATTCTCCTGAGAAAAATGGATTACGTGCCATCTCCTGGGGCAATTTCCCTGCATATAAGCATTTTGCTTTGCCAAGCTGAATCTACCTCTCCTGAGACTGCAAATATGAGGAGGAAGCCTTCAAGGTCTGCTACCTGCAAAGACTTCGCTGTGGCTGTGGAATTCCTTATTCCTCTCCTTGGGATAAAAGACACCTCCTGCCCAGTGGGGGGTGGGGGGCTCTGAGTACAACCCAGGTGAATGCTTCCGTGTTACCTGGAGGAAGTTCTGGCTGGAGATGATGAGAGCCAGCTGGGCACTGAGGTCTTCTGCTTGGGCTTGGCTCCCTCTCACCCCCTGGACCAGCTGAGGGATGTGATCAGCCACCGCCTAGAGGAAGCGGGAAAATGAAAACTGAGCTGCCTAGTATGGTGAATTACCAAAACAAGGTGGACAATGACCCAAGTGATCAATGTTTTTTGGATGTGCTATCACTCCTGGGAGATGCCTGTCCCAGACCTTGGATTTACACGGCACCGTTAGCCAGCTGGGTCCTTACCAACACTGAATTCTAACCCAGAAGTTCTGGGTACCCTTCCCCCACACATGCTCTGTCTACCCCGCGGTCCCAAAGGTCCCCGTATGTTCAGCAGAAGACGATTCTACATAATGAGGCCTTAAAAGAATGCCCCAGTTCCAATGCACACTACCCTGGCTCACTAGGGTTGAAAACTTCAAAGAATCTATACAATTCACTGGTGGATAAACTCAGGTCATAGGGTCCCGGGAGCAGAAGACAGTGAGAGAAGCGCTGAACTATCAGCAGATTTCAGTGCTTCTATTTTTTATTTTTATTTTTGGTGTGTGTGTACACATGTAGTTTTATTGTAACAAAGCAACTTGTACACTTTTAACGTTTAAAACTGAGCATCATCTTTCCTTTCTAGTGAAACAAAAAGAAAATTTAAAAATAAACAGGAACAAAATTACAATAGAGAAATGTCAATTCTGAATCAGATCCTACAGGTTCTGCTGATTCTCCCATCGAGTGTCAGGGCTCAAGTCATCATTAGGAGAGAATTTTGTTTTAAAAGTGTCATCCTAGACTGCAAGGATATCTGTTAAACATCACAATTAAACATGCCAAAGGAGAAGCCAACTTGTCAAAATGCCCACTTAACCCACCCAAACATCTCAAACCCACCCTTTGATGACCTTCTATAACGCTCCCCCCCCTTTTTAAAGTTATTTTTTTCTTTTTTTAAACAAGAGAAAGTAGACAGATACATGTTGGTAAATGCTAACTGTCCATATTCACACAGAGACACAGTGTGATCTCTGAGCCCAATATACAGAGAAAGGAGGAAAAAAAGCTAGAATTCTATGCACTACTACCCAGGGGCCTAGCAACCTCCAGCTCCCAGCAGAGCTAAGGGAGTAGAAGGTTTTTCTTTTTTCCCACAGAGCACGGTGGTGTTGATTCCATAAAGTTTTTCTTGAGACAGGAAGGGATAGAAATGAATTTGGAACAGAAAGGGGCAAAGACTCTTTCCCCGCTGTATTCTGCTCAAGGTACACCCCCCCCCACCCCAAATAAGGTGAGAACCATGGTGTAAAGGAGAGAAAAGAGACCTCAAAAACAGGGCGACTGAGCACAAGAGGGGGGAAAAAAGAAAGAGGAAAAAAAAAAAGACTGTAACTTGCTCCCAAGGACTGGAGAAAACTTAAAAAGGTTGGAATCCATCAGTGATTATTAGTCGTCGTCTTCTTCATCTTCTCCTCCTTCCCCCTCATCATCATCTTCATCTTCTTCACCTTCATCCTCATCCCCTTCTTCATTAATATCTTCCAACCCTTCCTCTTCTTCATCACCACCGTCATCTTCTTCTCCTTCCCCTTCTTCATCAACCATGTCAGGCAGGAACCAAGTAGTACTGTAATGGATTTGGCCAAATGCCATCTTTGATGGCTTCTCCTAAGTCATCTGCACCTGCATCAGAATGGTCAGTGAACCAGGTAAAGACGCTGTCTGGTTCCTCATGCTGTCTCCTCCTGCTGGCTTTATTCTGTGTTTGACTTGAATGTTTGGTCAAATCCTTTCCAGATTTCCATTTGATTTCAGTGGACTTTGAAGATGGATCACCACTCTCATTCAGAGGAAATTCTTTGGAGAGAACTTTATTTTCAAAGTAAGGATTTTCATCAAAATAAAAATATATTCTGTAACCTGATTTAATCTCTTCAAATTCTGTCACTTCAACTCTTGTCAAATCATGCAGCGCCTCCTTCATCCTCTTCCCCAAGCAGAGCAGATGCTTGTGAATGGTTGACAAAAATTGTTACCCCAAAATTTGGGATTTGGGCGATCAATTCTGACCTCTTCTGAAAAAACGGTTGGCGGAGTTTGTTATATTTCTGTTCTACATTCAAAATCTCTTCACTGGCTTATTCATTAAGTCTATTTTGTACTTCACCAATACGTTCAATAGCTTCTTGCTACTAGTATTCTTTTTCTCTCTTTGGCAAGTCCTGAGGGGTCAGCTTCTTCTCCGGCTTGGGGGCTGGAGGCAGTTTCGGTTTCTTCGTTTGAGGTGGGAGCGAGGACTGGCATTTGGGGATCAGCGCTTCTATTTCTTACTTTGCAGGTAAACATCTGTCCTTCCGCTTTCCTGTAGCCATGGCTCCTCTTCCCCTGATCTAAGTAGCTCTCTCATTTCTCAAACTGGAAAACCCAACGCCCAGAGCAGAGGAGGGAGGAGCAGCAGCCCTGGGGTGAGACCGTCTCACACAGTGACATGCCTTTTACCCTGTGTCCCCACCTTTCCCCTCTGTCCACACCGTCCGACAACAAACAGGCCCTGAGGTCACGCACAGTGGCTCACTCCTGGGGAAGGGCCCAAGCGCATCCCACCCAGGTGACATGCCCTCCTTCAGGTGCCTGCTCCAGAAGGATTGAAAAATGTCCCCATGAGACTTTTCTCGGGGCCTCTCCAGGACCTCTGGCTCGCCATTTGGTCCACTGTCCCCTCCCTGCTGACAAACAGCAATGCTCTCATTTCCTGAGGTGATACCCACAGGCTAAGGACATTCAGTCTCTTCCCAAAAAGTGGAGGAGGGGCTCACCTTGGAGTATTTCCCTGGACACAGTAGCACGTGCTCCCTGAGAAGGGGAAATGCCATTTTCTACCCCTGCAGGCTGCTGGATTGAGGCCATCACAGCAAACAAACTCCCCTCCTGCAGGAGCCGGGCTCTCAGAAAAACCCCCGCTTTGGGTACATGGTCGGGCAGATGGGGCTACTGCACCCTGAGGTTTTTCTACTAGAGCACACGGATCCTCGACGGGGCCTGACCTCGGAGAACTCAGACTCAGGTGGCGAGGGCTCAGGCCCTGGGTGGTTCCCTTCGGAAGTAAAGCCATTTCTGAGGTAGAAGTGGCAACATCCCTTACAGGTGATGGTTTCACAGAGGAGATTTGGAGAAAGGAGAGAGGGCAGTGAGCTCTCAGTCCCCAAGCACCATCTCTATGCCTCCACCAGCCCCCGCTGCTAACAGGAAGTTTCACACTTCAGTCAGACACATTGTTTGCACGTGGGCAAAGGGCTACAAAATCAGATTTTGTGTCTGACACCATTCAGGGGTCTTCTCAAAGAGTCAATGGCCTGGGCCCTCAGAGAAGGCAGCAGAGGTGTCACTGTGCCCCCGCTAGTAAGCGGCTTCCATGCGCCACCAAGGCCCAGGGGTCAGGAGAACTGACAGACAACAGCAGAAAGCACCAGAGCACCCCATCCTGGAGGCCCGACAGGATGAAATAAACCCTGGAGGTGCCATCCGTGCAAAGCAGGAAATCAACTTCCAGGATGAGTGAGGCTAATGCGAAGGCCCACCCCTCCAAGGCGGAAAGGCACTCTGGAAATTCAACGCTCCATTACTATTTCAGGGTCCGAAAATGGCCCCTCCTTAATTCGGGCTCTCAAAAAAGAAAGAAAAGAATCCAAACAAAGGAAAGACAATGCTGGAAAAAACATAGTCTCCCTTCACACAGGCCATCCACTTAGACAAAAAACAGACGTCTGTGTGTGTGTGTGAACACCTGGAACAGGGGAGCCGGAGCAAACTGGATTAGGGGCCTGGATGATCAGACTTAACTGCATTGCCAGGGCACTCAGTGTTCTAATGCTATCAGCGTTTTCTACAGCAGACCTGGCTCTCCGGCAGCCGAGACCTCACCTTGCAGCTCTGCACCAGCTGCTGCTGGGCCGCAGGGTTCTTGTTGGACACAGCTGCGTTCTGGGAGGCGGCGATGGTCTGCGTGGCCGCGGCGGCAGCCTGCTTGGCTGCAACCTGGGGAGGAGCGGGAGAGGAGGTGAGCCAGGGTTTGAACGTGCCAGCCCACACACACGCACATTTGTGTATGTCCCGTCACTGGACAGCTGCACACGTACGAAAGGGAACTCCAGGCAAGGACTCTGCCTTTTAAATACATCGATGACCCTGACCTAACGGTGCTGCTCTCTGCTTTTGGTTTACGTTCCCTGGGACAAGTGATAAAGGCAAGCATGCTTGAAAGCTCAAGGTGCACTGTTCACTGTCTTTCTCAAAAACACCAGGGACAATTCCCAGGCCATGATGACAGATAAACAGCACCAGGTCTACATGCTTTAGGGGGGAAATTCCTCCTCTGACAGCACAAGCTGCTCCCTGGGTCAAGCACAAACCTGGTGCTCATGGCTGTCCTCTCGCGGCCATGGAAAGCCTTGGTCCAGCAGACCCAGACCTTCCGGCGAGCACTTGCCTGTGTTTACGCTCTCCCTTCCTTCCAGGGACAAGCAGGTCAGTTTCCTTCCGGAACCCAGCAGACTACACATGGGGATCACACACTAGGAAGGCAGGGCCTTCGCCTCCAACCTCGCAAATCTTAGTGTAAGAATCTCCCTGGTACATTTGTGAGAGAGATTAATTTTCTAGCAAAGTTTTTGCCCATTGCTATTTTATTTCTTTTAGAATAAATAAATGTTCTGAAAAAAATGACATAAATATTTCTTATCACTCCCTCCCATACTGTTCTAACCAAGCCTGATCCCCATCTCTGGTCTTCCAAACTCTACATTTCCTACTGGGGGCCCTGAAGGAATCATTGACTCTAACAAAATAGATACATTGAGAGTTAATGATTCTTCCTGAGAGTGGACGTCCCTTAATGGGGAAAAATAAATTCCCGGGCCCTCCTGATAAAAAAATTTGGTTTTCTGAAACCATGAAGCAACTTTTCAGATTGTGTCAATGTGCCTAAACCATTGAATGTCAATGTATAATGTACCTAAACTAGCACTTCAAATAGTTCCCAGTACCTAAACCACTAATCACTAATTTGGATTTAGCTTCCCGTCCATGGGCTTTGCCTTATTCATCTGATTGTTCTTTCAAATACCTCTTTGCCATGTAAAACGAGCATCAGCCTCTATACAGACCTCCAATCGGTTGACAATTTTTTTCTTTATAGCATTCTGGGCGGCGGCGTTGGTTGCCACCCGGAGACCTTCCGCAGCCTCTCTCAGCCTTTGCTGCTGGTCCTCATTCTCAGGGTTGGCTGCAGCTCCCTGGGAAAGTGAAAATAAAGATTTCATGCTGCAGACACTGAATTCATGCCTTCAATTTTGCTCTTTCCTAGTAATGAGAGCCAAATGCTTCAAGCAATGTCTTTGTGATAAAGATGTTTCCTTGCAACAACAACAAAAATACCTACCAGGGGATGTTTCTAAACTGCATCGCTAAACAGAAGAAATGCAATGGTGATAATAAACATATGAGTTCATAGCCTTGGTTGTCCATATACATTAACCTGTGACCTGAAATCCATGGCTTAAAAGATGTGAAGGTAAATCTCCCCCTGCCCATATCTCTGAGACAATTTTATTTTAATGGGCATGACAGGCACGTGTCACGGCTGGAAGAGTCTCCTGTTCTGAAGCACCGGTACATGTGAATGGGCTGAGATTACAGCATAACACAGGGGGACCGAGGGGCAGGGCGGGGGGAGAGGGCAGGAATGCCATCCAAAATGCTGTAAGGAAACATCGTTCATGAAGGACCATGTCTAGAGATGGCATTCCTCGAGAACCTGAGTTGGAAAGTACAGCGAAGTAGGACAGGTACCCAATGGTACTGAGCGAACTGTAACTGAATTAAAGAAAGAAGCTGATGCCCCTACCCTACAGGGAGAGAGGAATGCCGTGCACAGCCCATGGCCATGCTTCTGTCGTGTACCTCCATGGCCCTTTTACGTGTTGCTGTAGGTTAAAGTGTCCACTAGGACCCCAATTGGATTTTAATTAGATCCCAATAAAGCCAATGGAAAAAGAACGCTCAATTAGCAGGGCCTTTGCTGTCGATGGCTGTCGGCACCACACCCTGAAGAACTTCGTTCATATGCTCCATGACCTTCTCTTTTCCCAGCTGAACAAAGTTAAACACTCCAAAGCCATTGTAGGTTTTAAACAACAAAAATGCACACTCAGCTGACCATTCTCTATCCTGAAGATTCCTTCCAAACTCTGACTTTCCATAACGCTCACATGCCAGTGGAGCACGTCCACCGCAATAGTACCTTTGCCGCTTCCACCATGCGAGCCGTGGAGTCCGCCAGGAGTTTTGCTGCTGCCAGGAGCTTCTTTGAATTCTCCATGTCGATCTCGGCTTCTGCATCCGACCTCATGGCGTTGACGAGGTCTGAGGTGGCCTGGGCAAGGACTCGTGCCTGGCGCACCATTTCACCTAGAGGGTGGGATTGAGGATAAGGTCTGTTTGTCTGCTTTCTAAAGCTCAGGGTGAAACTTCTGGAGTCAGACTTGTCTCTACTCCACTGGGGAGAAGAATGAAGAGAAATAAGCCCCTGGGATTCCTAAGGATTGTAGCCGAATTACACCCAACATCGAAAATAGTCCCTGTGGCTATAGGACAATATGCCCAAAACACAACCAAGTTCCATCTTTAACTCTGAGAAATAAAAATGACATAAGCACCCCAAAAAGGAGCTCTTTGTAAAGAGAAGGCAGGGAACACAATTATGTGGATTTATTGTGTGCACTCACATTTACTGAATACTTATATAGAAAATGTTATTTACCTCATGTCAAGAACTGCTTACACAAAAGCGCCTATAACAAATTCTTGGAGTAAGTGCATAAAAAACAGTTTCAGATTCTGACCTAATGTGCACGCCACCTGACCCGGACAAGTAATGTCACCTCGTCTATGTCACTTGGCTCTCGCTAAGAGGAAGCACTGACCCCCGTCTCACACCCAAATGCTACGATTTGCCTTGGCTCAGTTTTCCTTACCCATTGTCCCTTTGCTTACCCGCTTCTTCTCAATACTTGTTTTGATCTTGTTACTAGTAATTGTTTGATTTTATTGTACCTGTGATTTTACTGAAATCCATTTTAACTCCCTTTTGGAAGTGGGAGGAGTATAGAGTCAACATTAACCAAAGAACTTACATATATCGATGCATGACCCATGGACAGATAATGGTGTGGTGAAGGCCTGCGGAGGGGGTGGGAGCGGGGTGGAGGGAATCAGTGAGGGGAATTAAAGGAGACGTGTAATACTTTCAACAATAAAGATAAATTTAAAAATATTTTTAAAATCCAGATTACACACACACACAAAAAAATAAATAAATAAAACTATTAAAATGTAAGGGATTTCTTCCTCTTCCAAAGGTCATTGGAGAAGAATGCTGAAAAGGTAAAAACGCTTTCAGGAAAATCAAAATGTGCTAAATTCAAGATGTCTTGGATTTGGATCCTGGGACAATAGTAAAAGGACATCACCAGAGGAAAAACTGGTGAAATGCAGGAGTTTGGTTAACAGTAATGCACCAGTGCTCAAATCCGGGCTGACAAACATGCCCCAGGTGAGGGACAGGCTGTAAATGCAAGGAACTGGGAGGGCCCATGAGAACTCTGCACTACCTCTGCAGCTTCTCTGTAAACCTAAAAGTCTTCCAAAATAAAAGGTTTGTTAAAACAGACAAACAAAAGTAACAAAAAAAGTCCAAATGTGTGGAGCAATGCTGGGCAGGTGAACAGTTTCGTGCTGGCGGGTGTGAGTAATTTCAGCAGGCTCCACACTGCAGGGCTGGCCCTGGGTGCCTGGTACTTGCCCCTGGGATGACTAAGGCAGAGAATATTGCTTCCTGGCCATTTAGAGGAGGCGTGGCTCAGGACACAGAAAAGCGCAAGGTAATTTTCTTTAAAAAATACTCGCTATAAAGTATTGCTCTGCGTTGATGCAGAAGCAGGAAAACAGACCTTTTACAAACTAGTAGGGTTAAAAATTGTGGGATCTTTCTGGAGAGAAATTTCATAGACACATTTAAAATAAAATAAAAACGTATAGAGCTATAGGCCCAGCATTCCACTGATAGGAATTTACCCTACATATACTGCCCTCCCCCACTCCCCCTCAAGTAAACCAAAATACTAAAAAGAAAGAGGGAGTTATACATGCATATACATGACTAGGAAGAATAAAAACAAATTGGTAAATGGTCAGTTCTGGAGATTTAGATGGGACAGTGATGGGCTGGGTCTGGGGAGACATACTTTTGAACAAATAGATGGAAAAGGTACATTGTACTGTATATTTTTAAATTTTCTGTATATAATGATGTTTGCCATCTTAAGAAAATACCTTTGTGGATGGAAAGAGACTGCCCCTCCTGGGCTGGAGCATGCCTTTGCTATGCAAGCTACCCAGTCCTGAGCCACACCTCCTCTAGCTGGTCAGGAAACAATATTCTCTGCCTTAGTCATCCCAGGGCCAAGTACCAGGCACCCAGGGCCAGCCCTGCAGTGTGGAGCCTGCTGAAATTACTCACACCCGCCAGCCCGAAACTGTTCACCTGCCCAGCATCGCCTTCCCCAGGAAACCCCAATAAAGGCCTTCACTGAAACTCTCCCCTCAATCCTGTCTTTTGTTAACTGATGAACCCCTGACCTTGTGTGGCACATGGTGACTTCCTCTCAAGAGACCAGTGTATAGTAAACTTCCAACAACGTTCTTTTTTTTTTTAATCCTCACCCAAGAATATTTTTTTCCACTGATGTTTTAGAGAGAGAAACATCGATTGGTTGCCTCCCACACACGTCCCGATCAGGGCCGGGAATTGAACCCACAACCCTTTGGTCCGCAGGGCAATGCTCTAACCACTGAGACAAACCAGCCAAGGAATAGCAAGATGCACTCTTGCTTCCTCCATCTCCAACACGGACATTTGTAGAAAGGAGATTTACTGTGACTGTAAATAATTTTTTAAAAGCCCAGTTAACTGTAAATCTTTAGGTGTTGCTTCGGATGGGCACATTAGGAGCCTTCCGTCCCTTTCCCAGGCTCAGAGAGGAAGGCTCTGATTGAGGGTAATGAGAACTTGCCTTTGCCAGGCACCCAGGCGGCCGTCACCTACCTTACTCTCCATCATCACTATCAGGAAACCCAACTGACCCCACCCCTCCACTCCCCCAGCCCAACCCCTCACCAGCATCTCCCATGGAGCTGAAGATGCTCTCGGTGACACACATGATGGTGTCGGTGGCCTGGTCGTAGCGGCCGATGGGCTCGCCTCGGCTGGCAAACTGTCGCACGTGCTGCAGGAGGTCGTGCAGGGCCTGGCTGACCACGCTGGCCGCCGCGCCGACTTGCTTCAGGAGCTCGCTGTCATCTGTGGCTGCCTGGCAGGCGCGGACGCAGTTCTCCACTGAGCGGTCCACAAGCTTCCCCGCTTCGATCAGCTGCTCCTGGCACACGGGGGAGCTGATGGTGGGGCTCACCACCTGCAGGGGGGCGAGAGCGGGTCTGGGCACTGTGGGTCCTCTTGGTCCCCCGTGTGCACTAGCTTCGCACCAAGTCCCTCCCTGCTCTGGGCCTCGGTTCCTTAATTACAGGACCAGGAATTAAACTAAACCATCACTGCGGTTTCTCATTTTCACTACCTCACTTTGCCTTTGTGATTTCAGATGCTGCTAATTTTTATCTTTGTTAGGGATCTATAACAATCTATACTACTGACTACTTTCAAAGTCATTTCCAGTATTTACCAACTATGCCTCCTCCTTCAAGAAACCACTAAAATTGAGTCTTCTGAGCTAGGATAACAAGACAACCAAAAGAATTGCATTTCTTTTTCCAGAGGCACCTGGAACTCTGCTTCATGGTACTTTAAAGAACAGGGGATTCTGTCAGTACCTGTGGATATGAGGAGGGGGACCATCCAGGACACCTCTGACAGATGCTGCACATCCTCCCACAGCCTAGGGAAGGCCAGGCAGGGCCAGAGCACAGACCTGTCCTCTACGCTATGTCATCAAGTTGAGACACGGACACCTCCCACCTTCGCAGGCATCATCTCATCAGATGGTGGGGTGGAAAGGGTATTTGAGGTCAGGCCCGACTTAAAAAACTCAGTTCTGCCACCTACTGCTTCTGTGTAATAACTTCTAAAGGCCTCAATTTCCTCTTCAGTGAACGGGTGATGGTGATTAACGAGGCTAAGCACAGAGTGTGCGCATTCTGATAACGACGACCTAAGGCCTCACCACCCTCACGCCAACACTGTGCAGAGTAGAAAGGGCCCCACAAGCTCTGCAGTGACTCTGGACCCATTTATCGTGCCGAACTGCACAGCGCAAGGCCCTGTGTGTGCAGGTGTAAATAAGACGTGCTGACGCAGCCAAACGGGAGACAGCAGAGGTGGCAGTTAGACACAGGACGGTACCTCTGCCGGGGGCCTTGAACAAAGAGCAAGTGATAAAAGCAGAATTGAGCAGTTTACGTAAAAATCCTGTCACATCACCTAAAAGAGACACCTGAAGCACTTAGTCTCGAACAATTTTAACAATTTTTGCCCCTGCTTCCCCTCAATGACTGGAGGCAGTTAAGAGCATGTGACACTTTGTAGCGAGGGCCGGGGGTGCGAGCCGGCTAACCTTGGCACAGGCCACCAGCTGGGAGGTGGAGAGGGCACACTGGGTGGCAGCGGCGATCACCCTGTTCTGCAGGACCGTGTCTTCGGCCACTTGGGCAACATTCTTTGCCTTTAGTACCAGCATAGCAGCAGCGTTGGCAACAGCTTTGGCCAAACTCATTAAAACGTCCTAAGAAAAATAAATTTTAAAAAAACCACGAGTCATTCATTTTGTTTTTCTAATGACCCTTCAGGAAAATAAAATGTGGTGTCCACTTAACCATTTTATTAGAATTCCATTTGACTTCAGTACTTCAGAATAATACTTTTCCACTTATTTTTCTGAAATGTCAACCTATCTTTGGAGCTAGTTAATGAAGGAGACTCACATCCTAATAACATAGTCTCCTATACATTCATTAAGTAGCACAGTTTACATCTAAAAGAGGTTAATTTGAGGAAACGGTTTTTATTATAACCACTGATTAACGTCCGTGCACTTATCCAATACTGAGAGTCACATCTCTTGAACGTGGTTGTATTGGTGGATCAAACGATGCTGAAATGCATCCAGATGCCACAAATACTATGTGCTGTAGGAAAAACAGAATTCATGGCCTCTGTAACTTGAAAATTCATTTTTTTGGATTTCTACTTTGCACAAGAATCCAAGTGACCACCATGAATTCAGCCACAACATTGCCTCCAGAGGGCAACGTTGGACATGCACAGACAACACCTACTTCCAGAGCTAAGGGATGCTCTGCGCATAAGTTATTCTCAGTGATCCGTAGCCTTCTGCAGAGGGATTAAATTATTATGAAAAGTGGGCAGGGAGTCTACATAAATAAACTAGCTACAAGCCACATAGCTAAAGCTATGACCTCACTGCAGATGCAAGGAGCTCGGAGCCTTTAAAGATCAGCTTATGCTTCAACTCAACAAGAAGGCATTCTGCCTGCAGGACGGGAAATCCTTTGATTTCGGCCACCAGCTTTGTCACCCATCTGTGTGACCTGAAGACTAACCACCGTTACATTTAATTTACATCTTTGCTTTTAATATTGAAGGTAGTTTATTTGGTTTGGAAATGCCTTTCCAAACACAGGAGCCATTTTTATTTTGAACAAACGTGTGAAGACTCCCCCAGAGGAGATGTGGTCAGAAGTCTTTATTAATTCATCAGATGATAATGAAAAGCACCTTTGATTCTGAATGCAAAGGGCACCCACAACCTTTACAACAATATTTCTTATGAGAAGATAAATTGGAAAGTCTGTCCAAACTGCACAGTTTTACATAGAGCAAAGGCCAATTAGAAACCACCAAGTAAGTGCACTTTAAAATTGACAAAGCCAAGCAGTCTTAAAGGAACAGTCCAGCCCAGTCTGTTTTAGGTCTCTGAAGTTTACTGACTGTCCAGGGAAAAACCAAAGCCTGTGATGCCAAAAGTTGAAGATGCCTCTGGGATCTCGCTGGCAATTGTCTGCTGCAATTTTTAGAAATTGCTCCCAACACAGCCCAAAAGGTTACAGTTCTTGGACACCTATAGCTCAATGATCAGTGAAAACACAACCTGAATGTCACAAATTATTAACAAGATTTAGGCTAACAACTTTCCAAAGGGTGACAGTATTCATTCCCTCGTTATGAATCCATCTTCGCACACAGAGACAAGGTTTGGTCATGTAGACTCAGGATTATTCTAAAGGGCTTTGTTCGACTCATTTACAGAAACCCTGTTCCTAGTAATTTTGTCCAAAAAAGAAAAAAAAATACAGTTAGAAAAAGAACGTGATCCTACAGCGATAGTTGCAGACAAGGCCTTTGTCGAACTTTTCAACAAGACCACTATTATGTCGCCCGTGTAAAATAAATCTTTGTTAAGTCTGGGTACATGTTGAGGACCCAAAGAAAAGCTCTGAGATCGGATCTCAAGAATCTGAAAACCAGAGTAAGAAATCCCATGTCAGGAAGCCCAGGGCTGCTCCTAACGAGCGGCTGCAGATCACCTCACGGGGGCGGTGTTTACCCAGACGCCTTACAGAAACAAAGCGCTCCAGCCAGGCTTTCCTGGGAAGAGAGCCTCCACAGGCCCAGGTCCTGAACCTGAACCTGAACCTGCTGCCTAGCTCGTCTGAACAGAAACAGACATTAGGAAGCAGTTTGCATTTATAGGTGATGAAACTGTCAAAGGAAAAAAGGCAGTCTTCAACACACAAGGAGGCCTGAGATGTCTCAAGGCAGGACTGTGACTTCCCTCCCACCTTCCCAAACACTTTGCGGAAACAGTATTTTTGAGGAAAGTACATTGGTCACTTCAAGATCATGAAGCCTAGAAAACCAAGCACGGAATCTCGTATCCACACAGTTCCTCAGTAAGGGTCTGCCTATGAAGAATTATCTGCTCTAATACAAAAGCCAAAGGGCTCTTTGGGATCTGAGTCAGGAGGAGTCAGGATGGGGACACAGTTAGCTTGGAGTTAGTGGGACAGATGCCAGGAATGCTGGATTGTGGGTCTCACCCCCATCACGAGGTGAATGTTCGAGCACTGAGGTGTTACTGCAGGATATGAATGAGTCCCATGGCTCCAGCACCACGGGTGTGGATGAGGAGGAGAAACAATACATGTGTGGGTAGAATTGCATGTTTCGTGAATCACAAGATACACGGTCATGTCTTAGTGTAACATGCATCTTGTGTTGATGAGATTTGGTAGTGCTAAATAAAATGTCATGCAAAACTGCCACAGAGGAAGCTAGAAACTTAAATGCTAGCGTAAAGCTGAATGATCTTTTTGTTCTCAATTCTGCTGAATTCCTCAACACTGACCTGGACATGAGATTTGGAGAAGGGCATCTTTCTAGAGGACTGCAACCATTTCATTAAAATGTACTGATACACAATTTGCAAAATTAAGATTTAAGAAGAGGAGAAAGAGGAGTGGAGGGCATCTGCCCACAAGTATGTAAGAAGAGAAGCTCATTCGAGCCCGAGGCTCCCAGCAGCAGGCCTCGGCACCTCATCTGTGGTGGCTGGCAATGGAGGCAGACAAGTTGAGATCCCATCTGAGCTGGCAGTACATCAAAGCAGCTGCAAACAGTGGCTACAGCTGTTCACCAGAGAACAGAGAGCACATGCCCATGGTATTGAAAACGAAGGGTGACAAAAAACACTTCACCGCGTTTGTGGTTTTGGATGACACAGACTGACAATAGACACACCTCTAAATATGAAGGAAAGCCTGTGCTGTGTGTGTGTGAGTGCGCAGCACACTCTGTCACCCTCATATGTGGACTCCAGGGTAATTCAATTAAAAACTGCCCCCAGGCCCAGCCGGCGTGGCTCAGTGGTTGAGCATCCACCTATGAACCAGGAGGTCATGGCTCGATTCCTGGTCAGGGCACATGCCCAGATTGTGGGCTTGATCCCCAGTGTGAGGTGTGTAGGAGGCAACCAATCAATGATTCTTTCTCATCACTGATATTTCTATTTCTCTCTCCCTCTTCCTTCCTCTCTGAAATCAATAAAAAGATATTTTAAGAAAACAAAAACCTCCCTCAAATAGAGAAAACAAGATTGGCCACGAGTTGATTCTTGGGAAGGCTGGGTGGTAGATACATGATATTATTCCCTTCACTTTTGTGTTTAAAAAATGTCAGTATATTGACCAATGAGAACAGTTAAATAAGTGCTGTATAATGACGACTGTAAGTGAAATGAGTTTTCCAATTAAAAAAATTAAATTAACACACAAACCCCTCACCCCCAAGATAATCCACCCCAATCTTATTCTTGACAGCTCAAGGAAGATTTGGTTTTACATTACATTTTCCCCGTTTAGGTCTAGACAATCACTTAGGCTCCTTTCCAAGACTTATGGGCTGCAAATATCTTACTTGGAATCGCTCATCAGTCTCATTCTCTCCGATCTGTCTCAGAAGATCCCCACTGGCCTGTCCAATGCTTCCAGCAGCCGTCAAAACCGTCTGTCGGGGCTATGAACAAAGAACACACATTGGTTGGAAGGAAAATGCACTTCCTGTGCAGTACGACCGACAGGCAGTGCCAGGAGGGAACCTGCAGGATTGGCAGTCCTGCACCTAAACGAGAATCTCCGACTATCTGGCAGCCAGGAGACATAACGTCCTGGCCGAATCTGTGCAAGGAAGTGCCCGAGGCCTCACAAACCAGTGGATGGGTTCGAAATGTTGAATGAAGGAGTCTTGTTCAGCTGGTAGGAAGGTGACTCATGCTTTATGGAATTTAGAGTGAAAAACTTGTATCCCTTTTAAACGTGTATTTGTCACATCTGTTCATTTCTGAGTACCTTGGGGGCAGGGACGGAGAAGGGAGGCTTCCTACTAAGAGCTCAACTAATCCTGAATGTTGAACCATCGGTTCTGAACCCAGTTTAACAACTTGCAAACCCTACCGCTTTTTCACCTGCCCCATCAGGACGGAAGGAACAGCTCTGGAAGCAAGAGCCCCATCACTGGAACTCAAAGGCTGCACCTGTCGCAGCAGAACCCAAGAGACAGCTTGCCCCAAGAAGAGCTCACCTCTCCAGAAGTAGGCTGCACCGCTTTCAGCAAGTCCGACACTGCCCCGGCGAGGGTCCTTGCAGCTCTGAGCAAGTCCTCCCCGCTGCCCACCTCATCGTCCATGAGGGCCGCCAAGAGCTTCACGCCCTTGGACATCTCCGTCAGGTTGGAAGAAATGGTGGTGATTGCACACCCCACAGCTGTGTAGTCCGTGTCTGCCGGGTCACCTGGGACAGAGAAGGACCATCTCGGTCAAAGGAGGGTGGTGAAGAGGGAGGAGAGCCCAGTTGGGCAGGAGGTACGTGGCCAGGGGGCAGCAGCTCGCCACCCACCACGCTGCAGGAGTCAGACACAAGGCACTGCATGTGCACAGTGAGACGGGTGGCTCCCTATCTCCAAGATGCTGCTCTTCACAGGCGCCTCCACCCTGAGGCCACCTACAGTGCAATGCTGAGCACAGGCACCTTTGAAATTCCAAAGGAAGGCTGAGCATCTCACGCCTTTTGCATTAGGCCACTGTCAGCAGCTTAGGGAGGTCAACTCTGCTGCTGAAATGGTCAGGCTGCTCAGGGAAGCGAAGACATTCCCTGGCCCTCACTTGACAGTGTTGGGCGGGGAGTGATGCTACGGCAGAAGAGACTACTGCTGGACAAGACAGGAGGCGCGCACGACGGATCTCGTCACTCAGACTGTAAGCTCCCAGAAGGGAGAAACAGGCCTCCACGTACTTTGAAGTATGTCCAGCACACTGATGAACAAGGAGAAGGGCGATGTAAATGCTTTTTAATGACGCTACATGATACAGACACAAAGGGATGGATAGTCTCCACATTTCTCCTGGGTCAGTGGGAGAAAATGCCTGGAGCACACAGGGTGCCTAAAAATAGACTGTCGTCTCATAATATGAAAATCTGTTTCAATCAAAGAACCTTTTTTTAAAACACACACACACATACACAAAAAAAACCACAACATACCACAAACCCCTCAGGGTCTTACCGGCAGTGAGGTTAACAACTGAAGCTGTTCCAGCTGTGATGGCATCGACCTGAGAGTGGATTTCGTGTTTGGATTCGTCGACTTTATTCTGAACCCATACCCTAGACGCCTGCAAAACCAGACAAGCACATGACACAATCACTGCACGGAATTACCCAGGAAACCAGAGAAGTCGTGCCATAAAATGAGACCAGTGTTCTGGCTATGCTCTTACTGGGCCGACACCAACGAGACCCTGAAGTCATCTTAAACAATGTCTGTAACAGGCCTTTTGCTCCTGCATTGAGGCTAAACAGCATGTAAATTTTCCACGTTTTTTACACATTTTTTTTTTTTTACTTTTAAGATCTTACAAAAATTCTATGTAGCTGTATTTAGGTGAATTCAATAAAAATGAGAATAGTTGATGTCTCATGATAATACTGCATGTTAGCACCAGCATTGTTGCTAATTTTTTCTTGTTTTTTAGAGAAAGTGTATAGAATTAGGGTGTCTCAGCTCATGAGTGTTCTCTGTCAACATGGGGATTGTCTTCTGTTTACAACACGAATGCCACATAGATGTGGTTCTTTTCCTGGTAGGATTTTGGGGGATGGATGGGTCAAGACCCCTGTTCTAGATCCAGCTTTACCACTAACAAGTGGTACAACCTTGGGCAAATTTTATCCAGGCCCTGAACCTCACATTTCTTACACTCTAGGAATTCAATGGTCTCTAAAAGCCTTCCCAGCTCTTACAGTTTATGTTCATGGGAACCTACAGATCGCAAATTCTCTTTTCTGGCATTTCTGGACTTAGTCAAATGACCATTTACACTATTAATGGCAACCCTACGGAAATATACTGACGCTGATCTGCTGCCTAAAACATTCCAAAAATACTAATTTAGGTTCAGGATGTGCCTAGCACCACTAATATGTTTTGTATACTAATTCTTAGAAAACTGATGCAGAATGTTAAATCCCAGTATATTAAAATTCTACCTTACAATTGTGCTGAGTTTGGGAGTCTGCCATATGTTTCACTCTGACGTTCCCCAGAGCAAATGTTTAATCATTTCTGGGAGACACGGCACTGAGACAAGCAGTACCCTGCGTGTATACAAGTACACAAATGAACAACAGGGCTGCAGGGAGAACTTGGAGCAGTTTGTCCTGGCTGGACAAGATGAGCTACAGACTGTATCTTGGTTCTGGCCCCTATGATGGCCCTGTCAGTCCTAAAACAGTGCATTTCAACCCTGGCTGCCCAGTAGAGTCACCTGGGAAGGTGGAAAAGCACTGCTACCCAGGCCACCGCCAGAGACACAGATTTGTTTGGCTTGAGCCTTAGGCTTTGGCCTTCAAGCTCCTCAGGTGATTCTAATGTGCAAAGGAGGGCTGAGAAGAACTAAAATGTAGATTCTGATTCCGAAGGGGCAGGCCCACGATTTTGCACTCTCAGGAAACCCCAGGTGTTGCCAGTGCTGCTGGCCCCTGGACTATGATCTGCAAAGTCAGGGGCCCGGTGACTCCAAGCAGCAGTAGCTACAGGACCGCAGCTAATTACCCCACCCTGCTGAACAGCTCAGGAGTAGTGGTTCTCAAAGCACGGTCCCCAGAAAAGTGGCAACAGCATCACCAGAGACCTTGCTGGACAGGCACGTTCTCAGGCCCCGCCCCACACCTACTGAGTCAGAGGCAACCTGTTTGAACCAGCCCTCCTAGCGGTTCTGTTGCATGCTAAGGTTTGAAACCCACTTGTAATAACAAAAGCAGCTGATACTCATGAGCTTTCACGTGTGTTAGGTGCTTTATTAAGAACTCTGCACATGATTAGATTATCGGGTCCTCACTACCACCCTACTTATGGATGACAAATGGAGGCTTAGAGGAAGTTGCCAGATTCACGCAGCCACCGGGCAGTGGAGCTGGGGATTGAGCCCACATGATGTGACTCTAGGGCCCAAGCTGTGAGCCCTCGCCAGGTACTGCCAACAGCCAATAGCACCCTATGATTCTCTCCTCCTAGGAGAGTCAACGCCTCGTTATCTTGGAAAAGGCATGGTTTTCACTTCACCTGGCTGAGTCCAGAGTGCACAGCCCTGTGTCCTGCCTGGGCAGAGACACTGAATGAAACCACGTGCAATATTTACCATATCCTGGCCGAGAGGCGGCAGTGAGTCAAGCTCGCTGAGGTCGTCCTGGGCCTGCTGGACAGCATGCATGCTCGTGTTGATGGTCCCCATGAGGGCCTGCTGGGCCGAGGTCTACAAAGACAGATAAACACAAGGTGGTCATACCGTGGCTCCAGCCCTGACACAGCCCTCTATACAAAACAAGTTGAAACTGAACCCCTGCTCAAGACAAAGTGACCCAGGGTACAATTCCAAACTGCCCAAACCACCTCTCATTGGAGAACTTAGTTAGCTGACAAGAAGGCTCAGAAAGTGTCCTTGTGAGGGAGCGAAGGGGATCCAGTCCTTAAGTATTGAATATAAAAGACCTCAGGCATGGGAAGCGTGTGTTACACCAGAACTCTTCCTGGTAAACAAGTAAGGATTCCACCTCCACCTACAGCCAACATGCCTCTTCAGAATCGAATTATTTCTGAGCTTTCAGTCTCTTCAGCTTTCAAACAGTTCTTGCCCCAAAGCACACCTGAGCAGACCTGAGAGAGACACTGCAGCAGGGAGACCATCACAGTGGAAGGAACCAATGATCCACTGGGAGAAGGGGGTGTGGTTCACTACAGACCGGGTCTACTCCTAAGACTCTCGGAGGGGTATCTGGGCTAATTACTAGTAGCAGCTTGACACTGCTAAGGCAAGGAAGCAGGTTTCTACCAGTCACATGGAGAGGACACTGTTTCTCTTCCAGCCCCAGAGGACAACTGTGATCCTAGACAGGAAGGTACCAGTGCCACACAATTAAAAGGAAACATGCTGAATGGATGGAACTGGAGAGCATTATGTTAAGCGAAATAAGCCAGTCAGAGAAAGATAAATATCACATGATCTCACTCATATGTGGGATATAATGATCAACATAATTTGATGAACAAGAATAGATCCAGAGACAAATGGCAGGGGAGGGGGGTTAGCGAGCAACCAAAGGACTTGTATGCATGCATATTAGCATAACCAATGGACACAGACACTGGGGTGGTGGGGGCTTGCCCGGGGTGGGAATGACTGGGGGGGGGGTGCCAATTGGGGAAAAAGGAGACATATGTAAAACTGTAGACAATAAAAAAATTTAAAAAAGGAAACATGCTGAGAGTTAGGCATCAGGACTGCACAGCTGAAGAACCAGGATCCAGACAGGAACTAGCAAGAGTGTGGATGGCACACAGCCCCTAGCCCCATGCTGACGCCCCTCCCTGCACACCAGAGGCAGCACCCTGACATGCAGGGTGAGTGCCCGGGGAGCCTCACCAGCGGGGGCATGTGGCCTCGGTGCATCTGCCCAACCATGACCTGCTGCTGCGGCGAGGGCATGCTGCCAACGTTGAAGGTCTCTGGCCCGCTGGAGCCCGAGCGCATCACGGCCGGCAGCGCCACAGAGCCGTGCTCCACCTTGCCCGTCCGGTTGAACTGCTGCTGCAGGATGGTGGACCTGTGGGGACAGGCAGGTGGTCACTGTGAGATGGCTACTCATGTGGAGTGTCATGGACACCACAACTGTCATGAATATTTGCTGCTTTATGCCGTGGAGGCCAACTGAAAAGAGGCACGCATAGACAGGACTGTGAACGAAGAGGCAGACTAAAATGCTCCATTGAAGAAGAACCCTGAGGTGAATGCTTTTTAAAATAGTAATATAAATAACCACTCCCAATGGAGTTAATAGGTTCACGGTATATGCAATCAGTTCTTAAACCAGGGGTGGGCAAAATTTTTGACTCGAGGGCCACAATGGGTTCTTAAACTGGACCGGAGGGCCGGAACAAAAGCATGGATGGAGTATTTGTGTGAACTAATATAAATTCAAAGTAAACATCATTACATAAAAGGGTACGGTCTTTTTTATTTTTAGTTTTATTCATTTCAAACGGGCCGGCTGTTAAACACACACAGAGACAGTCCTATAACAAAGATGTTCCAGGTATAAGTGAGTTTTGTATACACTGACTTATTCAGCAAATCCTACTGAAATAGCATTCATTCAACAAATACCTACTGTGTGCCAGGTTCTATTCCAGGCATGGGAACATTTAATCTGAGCTTAAAGGGAGCAGTATGGAAATAAAGAAATCTCCACAGCTTCGACCCCCTCCTGTAGGTCCAATGCCATTGGCCATGGAGGATTTCAAACACCCTTGGAGCCTTGATGATGGGGCACACTGGCACCTCTTCCAGATGCTTTCAGCTGAAGTCTGGGAAGACTCTTCGGGCATCCAGTAAGGCACAATATATCAGTTTTTCACTGCTTAATACTTTCTTCAAATGAATGATGAGTGCAAAGGACTTGGAACATATGAAGCTAAGAAGTCTGAGGATGGCATATCTGCCTCAGTAGCCCAGTGGACAAACCCGCAGGGGGAGTCTGGAGGAGTCTGGGTGCATGTGTGGGAGGGAGCAGGGTTAGTGAGCACTTGCATTTTGGGCAGGGGCCTCTGTTCCCGAGTATTCAGACCATCATGGATCACTCCCCATCGTCCAGGGCAAAGCTATGAGCCATGCCAGGACACCAAGCAGCAGGCATGCATGGAGAAACATCACTGTCTGTGGAGGGAGTGACACTAGGGAGAGGGGTTTGTGGCTCCTGTAGGAGGCCAGCTGAAAGCTGGGATCCCACCAACGTCTAATGCAGGGAGAAGTGGAAGATCTAGCGATGCGACCACCTGGACATTTTTCCTGTCTGCCTTGACCAGCCCCCATCCTGATGCCCAGGGGTGGGGTAGGGGGCAGCACTCTGGGCTCAGACACTTGCTGAGCTCTTCCTAGGTGAAGTGCAAGTGCAGCAGAGCCCTCTGCGGTGAATGCCGCACCCTGTCAGGAAGCACTCACTAATTTCTACTTAATGGTCATTAACAATTCTGAGAACTTAAGGAGTTTTGCCAGAGGTAGCAAGTACAGTATTTGAAATGAGTCACATCAAGTTTGGTTCCAACCTGTGTACTGATGGGACAAATGGGAATACACCTTCAAGGTGATTATGAAGCAAACTGTGAGAAAGAGATGCAGGGTGGTGAAACAAGTACCGTGACTAAACAAGTTCAAATGCTGGGCTCTCTCCAATTTTCTGGCACCGTACTAGAGGAAATATCACAAGATCTGAATGTGAGTACTGGCACTGCCACATGAAGGCACCTCAACTAACTTCCATGAGCTTCCGTTTCTGTATCTCTGAATGGCAGAGGACAACATGTGGGTACCTCTGCCATAGGGGGTTGTTGTTGGGGCCAAATAAGATAGAATGTGGGACACACACAGTAAAGACAAAAAGGTTATTCCAGCCTTGACCGGTTTGGCTCGGTGGATGGAGCGTTGGTCTGCAGACTGAAGGGTCCCAGGTTCGATTCCGGTCAAGGGCATGTACCTTGGTTGCAGGCACATCCCCAGTGGGGGGTGTACAGGAGGCAGCTGATCGATGTTTCTCTCTCATCGATGTTTCTAACTCTCTATCCCTCTCCCTTCCTCTCTGTAAAAAATCAATAAAAATATATTTTAAAAAAAAGTTATTCCAACACTCCATTTAACAAAAGGGGGGGGGGCGTTGCACAGGTTTCCATTCAATGGGGCTAAATTGAGATAGTTCTGAATTTAATATGATGATGATGATGATGATGATGATGATGGCAACAGCAAACATTCATTCTGTGCCAGGCATTATTTTATGTGCTTCATTAGCAAGTCAATCAGCAAAATAAAACTTATAAGGAGATATTATCATTATTCCCATTTTATAAATGAGATGCGGGGGGGCAGAGAAAATTCATAATGTCCACCAACCCGCAAATGAAAAATACAGCCCCCAGATTTGAACCCCAAGTTTGGCTGCAGCATCCATGTTCTTACCCACTTCCTTCTGCAACATTACAATATGTGTACCAAGTGTGGCCCACAAACAGTAACTCCTCCACTGGCTGGATCCCTCCCCCCAAAGGGACAGGATCAAACAAAAGCTCGCTCTCCAGCCCTTTGATGAAAAGGATGCGGTTTATGAGGTTTACATCAGAAATGCAGACCAGGACTCCTGAATGTTCCCTGCTGCTGAAGATGGATTAAACACCTGTTCAGTGTCTCCCTGAAATCGTTAACCCCCAGCTCCCCAGACATCCTGAGCACCGACACTGACGGTCTGAGACCACACTTCAACAAGCCAGACTCATCGACATCATCCATTATCTTCTCCTCCATGTGAAGAACTTCCGGGCAACGGGCTCAGAGGGCAGGAGGAGCCCTGCCATGCAGTGGGAAGGCAGCTCTCCAGCGCTCTCAACGACACTTACTTTTTTGGGGAGACGGACTCTTCTAACATAGTTGACTCCTCATCACCCTCTAGTCCAAATCTATCTTTACTTTGTTTCTAGAGGTAAAACAAAACACAGAAACAAAATCAGCAGGTCTTTATACAAGAACATTTTAAAAGGTGTCACACAAGCAAAAGCGTGGAGGTTTATAGCAAATTCCTTAGATTGAATATTTAATAAGTTATGGGTGAACAAAGGCAATAAAAATAAATTATTTACTATGCAGAGATATATAATGTCTTCTGCATTTATTATTGCACAGACCTAATTTCATATAATTAAAATCAAGATGCAGATATTAATACTCTAGTAGAACTTGGTTCTTTGAATGGACTGTATCTAAAAGCTTTAGCAAACTTGTCTGTATACCACAATGGCATATAACCCTGTTATATATAGGGAATAAAAACAACATGAAAAATGCAAAAACATCTTCAGACCCTCAACCTGGGCTCCTACAGAGGCTGGAAAGTGTAACGTAACTACCTAGAGAGGAAGATGCCGAGGGGTTAGTTAGGTTCATTCATTAGCTAAGTGATGCACTACCACTAATTACCTGGCAGTCAATGATACAGATGATCTGCATCAAAATCAGAAATTCTCATAGGATCTTTAGATCAAGACCACACACTCAAGCAATCTTAACATCATAGATTAAATTAGTGAATCAAGTACTTCAAATAAGGTGTTTGTGTGTGTGTGTGTTTTTTTCCAGGTAGCCATATCATCTAAACCAGCGGTCGCCAACCTTTCGGACCTCATGGACCACCAGTGGTCCGTGGACCACCAGTTGGCGACCACTGATCTAAACCGAGTCTTAATACAGAAACCTTGCTTTTCCAATTGGCATCAGTAGGAAATACCTTTTTGAGGATGATATCAATGTAGCCTGCAATCAGCTGGGATATTTGCTCTCCCTCGGTGGTTTGCACTGAGTAGTAACTTTCCTGATATTCCCCAAAATCCTGGAGGGGGAAAGCAGTATTAGGAGAAATATAATAAATCAGATATATCAGTAGTTTTAAAGGTGAGAAGGTCCAGGTTCAAGATGGCATAGACTTAACATGTCCCTGCTCTTCCCCTCTAAATACAACCAAACATCCAAAATCTTATTTGACAAACAGGGTAAAAGGGCTCTCCAAGCTCAAAAGGTGAACTAGCTGGGGGCCTCAGGCCTTGAGAAGCCACATCCACTGACTTCTTGTGTTTTATTTTATACTAGAGGCCGGGTGCATGAAATTCATGCTTGGGTAGGGTCCCTAGGCCTAGTCAGTGATCAGGGCTGATTGGGGCCTTCCGGCTGCCGGCCAGGGCCTTCCTTCATTCCGTTCCACCCCCTGGTGGTCAGTGCACATCATAGCAAGCAATCGACTCCGGGTCTCCCAGTCGAACTCCCGAGGGGACACTTTGTATATTAGCCTTATATATATATAGATCCCTTTACTCCACGCTTGGGTACTAGAGAGGCCCAACACTTGGAAATTCCAACGAGCAGATTTGAAAAGCCTGTTCTCTGTGGCGAAAGGAGCAGAAGAGGAAAGCCCAATAGAGACCTCGTTGGAGCCCCAACCCAGCTCCATAGCCTGGGCTGTGTTCACCGGCAGCCGCAGAGCAATGAAAGCCCAGGCTGTCCCAGTCCCTGCTCCACAATCCAGGCAGGCAGGTGGTTTGATCTCCTGCAGCCGTGGCCAGAGTGAAACCCTGTGTCTCCCTGTCCTCCACCCAGTGCATCACAAGACTCAGGTCCAGTGGCTTCTGCCTCCCCGCAGAGGTCACCCAGCAGTAGCAGGTGGCCCAGGGAAGTGCCCTCCTCCCTCACAGACAGCAGCGAGGTCTGAGCAACAATCCCAGCAGTGTCAAAGGAACAAAGGAGTCCAGAATAGCACTGCACGGGTTCAGAAAATGAACTGTCATTGCAACTAAAGAGCACAAAGATAGGCTTAGAACTAAATCTATATAAGGTGACTGATAAAATAGAAAATTTAAATCAGATCATGAGTCTTCTAATATATAACCAAAACGTCTAGGATTCAACTGAAAATCACTATTTATATCAAGAACCAGGACAACTACAATATGAATAAGAAAAGATAATCAATTGATGCCAATACTGAAGATGAATCAGATGTTGGAATTCTCTGATAGGGGTTTTTAAGTAGCCATCATAAAAAATGTTTCAATCAATTAGAAATTCTCCTAAACAAGTGAAAATATTGGAAAGTTCCAAAACATAAATGTAAGTAATTAAACAGATGAATGAAAATTATAGAACTGAAAAATGCAATAACCAAAATAAAATAGTGTAGAGATGAGAGAGGATAGAATCAGCAAACTTGAATTTAGTCGATCAGAGCATTAGAGAGGAAATAGACAGAACAAGCAGAGCTTCAAGAATCTATGAGACAACAAACAGCAAAAGATCTAATATACATGTCATCATCAGAATCCCAGAAGGAGAGAACAGTGTGAGACAAAAAAAAAAGAGAAAGTATTTGAAGAAATGCTGGCTGAAAACATGCCCAAAATAAAGAAGCTAAGCAAACCCCAAACAGAACAACCCCTAAGAAATCCACACCAATAACTTTTTAGAAAAATAACTGATTTCAGTGAAACAGGAAGGACCTAGAAGAAGCAACAGGAGAGCCTGGGCTGGGTGCTGTGGCTCACTGGGAAGTCAGAGAAAAGGGGGCCTTGGAGACAGGGTTAGGGGGTGAGCCTGGGGTGAGCTGCTGCTGCCCATTGCTCCCCTGATTGCAAGTCTCCTGGAGACTCTTAGAGTTTAGGACACATGCCTGTTGGGGAAGATAAGGGGAAGGGAATGGCACAGGTGTGCTCCCCAGTGGGAGAGTGTGCCCACACCAAGAACTTTTGAAAACTAGGGACAAAGAAAAATATTTAAAACAGCCATAGAAAAGTGACATATTATCGAGAAACAAACATACTATCTGCAAATGAACTTGAATGACAGAAAATTCTAATCTGAAACCATGGAGGCCAGAAAGGAGTGGCATGACATTTTTCAAGTGCTAAAAAAACAAAAACAAAAAAAACACAACTGTACATTTCAAATCCTATATCTGTCAAAATTAACTTTCATGAATAAAGGGGAAATAAGAACATTCTGAGATTAAAAAAAACACAAAACAACCCTAAGAGAATCTGTTGTTGGCTGACCTATCTTTAAAGAATGGCTAAAGGAGGCTCTCCAAACATAAAGAAAATGGTACAGAAGAAGGCTGGGAAGTTTTAAAAGGGGAAGAACAGGATGGATAAAAATATAAATAAATGTAATTAACTATCCTTTACCTCATAAGTTTTTAAAGTTATAGTTTATGGTTGAAGCAAAAGTTATAACACCATCTCATGTGGTGTTCAATGCATTTAGAATATTTAAACAATAACACTTAAAAAGTGGGAAGTGTAGAGACCTAAAATGGAAGGTTGGTGTCTACACTTTACTTGAAGTGGTAAAACAATGAAAGCAGTAGGCTGCAATTAATTTCATATGTATATGTTCACAACTGGAAAAATTATTAAGAACACCATATAGAGAGATATACTAAAAACATAAATAAATAAAAATGAAACTCTAAAAAATGTAACCCCCCAGGAAGGCAATAAAAACAGAGGAAAAAGAAATAGAAAGGACAAACAAACAAACAAAAATTATAAAATGGTAGACTTAAGCCCTGACATAAAAAATTAGCTAAAAACTCAAATGGTCTAAACATGCCAATTAAAAGAAAGACATTGACAGGGTGGATTTAAAAAAATAAAAGAAACCACAACCCAACTCTATGCTCTTTATATGAAACACATTTCAAATATAACTAGACTACTAATAAAAGGATAGAAAAAATATGACATGCAAACATTCATTTAAAATATGAGTGGCTATATTAATATAAGATAAAGACTTCAGAGCAAAAAAAATTTACTAGGAAGAAAATATGTAACAATAAGACAATTTCTCCGTTAAGAAGATAAAGGAATCTTAGCTGTATAGAAACCAAACAATAGGGCTTCAAAATATATAAAGCAAAAACTAATAGAGATGAAAGGAGATATGGAAAAAGCCAGAGTTGCTGTTGGGAACTGACTGAATAACTAGACAGAACATTAACAAGGATACAGAAGACGGGAACAACACCATTAACTAACAGGATCTACCTGGCATTTATAGAACACTTCACTCAACAGCAGAATACACATTCTTTTCAATCACTCAGAGAACATTCTCCAAGAATGATCATATCCTAGGATATAAAACAAATCTTAAAATGCTGAGAAATAAAATTATACTTAATATGTTCTTTGGCTGTAATAAAGTCAAAGGAAAAAATCAATAACAGACAATAGGAAAATCTCTAAATACTTGGAAATTAAATTAAGGCTAGGAATAGGAAGGAAACAAATATTACATGTTACAAACATAAAACCAACCGTATACTTTAATAAAAATAATGAAAACTCATTGTTTTCTGCTTGAGGTAGTTACTGAGATTCATAACTATGTAAAACTTTGTTTTTAACAAAGCAATACTTGGACCTAGTTTAAAAAGACCAATCTTGCTAAGCGGTATATGATAACACATAGCTGTCCTCTGCCCTACACATTCCTGCCTTCACTTTTCAATCCCGACCCCCACCTCAGACAACCATTTTCAACCCTTTTAAGCAGTTTCTTCCACTATAAGTCCTCACTTAACATCATCGCTATGGGAAACAACGTATAATGAAACAAAATTTACCAAAGGCTAATTGATATAAACCAGAGTTAAGTTCTAGGGAATCTCATCAACGGTATAATGAAATGATGTTATCTGAGGATCTGCTGTATTTCTAAATAACATGTTTATATTAATTTCTTGATTTATCTATTTTAGAAATGATCCACAACTTCCTGCAATGGCAAATGAGAATGTAGTTCTCTAAGTATGAACACTCATTTTTAAGGGCCATGCAGGTACAGGTGTTACTGATTATAGGAGGAAAGAAGGTATGTTTTCTGAAGATTTCTTCTAACTGGCATGAGTCTATCAATTGATGACCAACTTAGATAACTGATTACTCCCTCCAAGGCCACTTCCTTACACCTTTTTTTCTGATGGCCTATTATGAGCTCTTGCCTCAATGCCAGCTGATATTTCAAGTGTTCAGCAGAGCTGGAGAATAGTTGTGAAGAAACCGACAAATTTTTTTTTTAAATTTCTCTTCTTACTCAACTTGCCCTACTAATTCTCACATGTAAGTATGACTACTAGTTAAGGCTACACAGTTAAACTCTGTTAAGAGCAAATATTGAGGTTGGGAGCAGGAGTTCAGAGGTCTAAAGGCTTACAACAAACACACTTCATATTTTCCATGTGTTTCACACTGGGCATTTCATCATGACCATGTCATTTGATCCCAGCAACTCTGTGAAACAGGTGTTGCTATCCCCATTTTACAGCTGAGGAAGTTCAGGCTCAGTGAGGACAGGTGACTTGACAAGGTCACAGAGCTCAGAAATGACAAGCTGGGGTGGAATACTACCCCAAAGTCTACGCTACTTCCACTATACAGCATGCTCTCTTTCTAGGCAGGCGTGGCACATCTCGACCTCAGCAAGATGTCCCGGTTCTTAGGAACTTCTACAACAATCAGAGATAAAGGGCGCCTTTGGATGGGCCTCAGAGCATTAGAGTTTCCTTTTAGGGTATGCTAGGGATGGCATCAGGGACACAGACGGAGAAGCATCCTGTGAGTGGCTCTTCCTAGAGACATTCTCACTGAAAGCACCAGAGAGGAGCGGGTGGCCAAGGATACCCAGCTTTTATACATCTCCCTCAGTTCTGGACCAGTCCCCATGCCCACCCCATGGTCTCCCACCATCTGTCCCTCTCCACACTGCCCGCGAAGGCCAGGGAAACCCAGTGGGCTTGTACTGTTTCTCCTGCCTCGCCATATTACCCAAAGCCATGTGGGCCCCCTCGTTGCCCTCTGCCAGTCCCTACCAACGTGAAGCTCTTGGGCGAGGCTGCCCAGCGCTTGACCGTGGTGAGCGGCCACTCCTGCAGCACTTCCTTGGTCTTCTCGTCCACGCGCATCACTGAGTCCTTGGTGATGCCCAGCAGGCGGGGCACCAGTTTGTTCTTGCCTTTCATCTTTTCCTGAAATAGGAGATATCAGGTCAGCAGTCTTCTTCTGAATACATCTGATTTTGCCAAATAATCAATGACATTGCAATGTTTTACCTGTGGTCAACTTACATACACTGTGTTTCAAAATAGGCAGAACTACCGAGTCTTAAAAATCTTTACTGATTATTAGTTTTAATAATTGTTTAAGAAACAGTAATCATGCCTATTAAATTAATGGATACCTACCTGTCACGCACACCTGAACAAATTCGAGATCAGTTAATAACTTAGGAGAAACATACAGGTGAATATTTTTGTGATCACTGAGTGTGAAAGGACTCTTTATACCAAAATAAAAAATATACATATAAAGGAAATGATTAATAGTTTTCACTACAAAATATAATGGACTTTAATATATCTAAAAAAGAGAAAGAGAGGTAGGAGAAAAAGAAAGAAACCTCATCATAAACAAAATGAAAAAGCAAATGACCGGGGAATAAATATTTACAACAAATACAAAGATAAAAAATTTCCATATACGTTGTATGTGAAAGGTTATCATAAATCAACAATAACTAGCAAAGAACATACACAGAAACTGTTTAAAATAATAATTAGGTAATAAGTAATCAACAATTGGATAAATGTTCATGTATATAAGATGGCAGATTTAAAAAAAAACAGAATTAAAGAAGATATAAAGGGGAAACACTGTTGAGGGAATTGAAAATGGCATAGCCTTTATAGAATAAATGTGTCAATAATGAACGAAAGCTTTAGAAATATTTCTACTTTTGACACATCTTGCTTTTAGAAACTTGTTAAAAAACAAATTATAAATGGATGTGAAGATTATACAGCAAGAAGGTTCATCTCGAGTTTACCATAGTGGAAATGAGAAATAACCAAATTTTCAATAAATGGGGGATTTGAAAAATTATTGCACAAATAACAGACTATTCTACAACTCTTAAAATGCATATTATAGGAAAACAATTGGACAATACAGTTTTCACAATATATTATAAAATAAAAATCAACAGTTTGTACTGCATAATCCTAAAGGAAGTAAAACTTTAAGCATAAATTTTAATTTAAAACATTAAAAGAAAATTTAAAAAAGAAAATTTTATTATGTGAAAAAATGGTGGCAACAATCATCTCAAGTTATTTGTATTATTTTCTTGTGCGTTTCCTTATTCCCAAAATTTCACCCAATACACATCTTTTTGTTGTCAAGGGAAAACGAACTTTTCCAATAATACTTGCTGAAACCTCGTGATGACTACACCGCGATTCCCTAAGAATACACATACAAATTAGCACACAAAGTGTGTGTGTATATAAGTAGGTGTGAGTACAAGGGGACAGGCGCTCAACACAGGGCAGGAGTGTGCTACATGTTAGTCTTTTCCATTAATTTTCAAAGCATCCCTTAAATGTTGGCATCATCATCATCATCATCCCTGTTTTGAAATGAAGGGACCAGCAACTTGCCCAAGGCAGATAGCAGTGAGTGGGAAAGCCATGATTAGGACACAAATTTGAATAGCTCAAAAATACTTCTGATTTCAAAAGCAGACTGTCTACCACAGTGTACTTCTTCTGGGGGAAGCAATTAGAAAAAAGCAAAAAATGCCCCCTCCTAGCCTCCAAGGGCAGTTCATAAATCATTAGGTGGTGAAGGTCCCAGGAAGGAAGAGATAACAGCATCAGGAATCTGCGTGGGTGGCCAAGAAGTGGAGTATGCATTGCAAGAACCTCCCAATCCTGATGAAGGCAAAGAAGAGGCAGACTCTGTGGAGAGATGCCAGTTCCACAAGAGGTGAAATCAGTGCCCATGGAGGATGCCCATCAGTCTAATTTGGCTTCAGGAGCCACACAGAGAGTTAGGTGGAGAGGCCCTGGGCAGCTGGTTTAGTCACACATGGAGGAATGAGATGGTCAAAGGGTACAAACTTGTAATTGTAAGAGGAATGAGTTCTTACAATTACTATAGTCAACAATACTGTATTATATACTTGAAAGCTGTAAAGAGAGTAGATCTTAAATGTTCTCTACATAACAATAAAAATACGATAATTATGTGAGGAGGACATAACCTCATTGTGGTAATAATTTTAAAATATATACATGTAACAATTCATCACATTGTACACCTTAAACTTCCACAATGTTCTATGTCAGTTATATCTCAGAAAAGTTGGGAGAAAAAGATAGCCTCATCTGATAATTTTATATGAAGCCACTAAGGTGTTTGATAACATTCAGCACCTATTCATTATAAATATTTCTTTAAAATGCTGGAATATATATACTTTCTCAAAGAGTATTTCAATCCTATTATCAGTATTCTATTTGATAGAGAAATGCTAGAGAGAAATATATAAATATTGGGATATGAACAAGTTATCCTTTAAAATCTTACCCTTCAACATTATTTTGGAAGTTCTGGAAAATGCAGAAAGATTTTTTTTTTAATTCTAAGCATTAATTCAGGGAATGAAGGAACAAAATTATTTATTGTTATGATTGTTTATCTTATAACAAGATACCAGAATCATTTAACTATTTACTTTGAAATAATCACAGATTAACAGGATGCTGTGAAAGTAATACAGACAATAAAAAAATCAGATATAATAAGTGTGTGTGAGGATGTAGAAAAATTGGAGCCCTAATACACTGCTGGTGGTCCTTTAGAAAATAGTTTGGAAGTTCCTCAAATAATCGAACATGGCGATAACATACAATCCAGCAATTCCACTCCTAGGCATACATATCCAAGAGACTTCAAGGCATATGTCCACAGAAAAGGTTGTACATGAATGTATATAACAGTATTTAATCCATAGGTGGAAACCCAAATGTTTATCTGCTTTTTAAAATTTCACATATAAGTGAAATCATATAGCATTTGTCTGACTTATCCATCTTGTTCTCTGTTTCTATAATATCCGCTTTTTAAAATTTCACATATAAATGAAATCATATAGCATTTGTCTGACTTATTTCACTTAGCATAATGTCCTCCAGATCCATCCATGTCGTGGCAAATGGCAGGATTTCCTTCTTTTCTAAGGCAGAATAATATTCCACATAATAATATTACACAGTGGTAATTTTTGTTCATGGTGTAATGATCAATTTAATTTTTCTGCATGTGAATGTTGTTTTCCCAACACCATTTATTGAAGAGACTATCTTTTCCCAATGTGTATTCTTGGCTCCTTTTGTCAAATATTATTGCTGTATATGCATGGGTTTATTGCAGGCTCTCAATTCTCTTTCATTGATTTATGTCTTGTTTTTTATACCAGTGGCATACTGTTTTGATTACTATAGCTTTACATTTTCTTTATTCATTGATGGACACTTACATTGTTTCCATATCTTGGCTATTGTGGATAATGCTGCAATGAATATGAGGATATCTCTGAGACAGTGATTTAATTTTCTTCAGCTAAATATCCAGAAGTAGAAGTGCTGGATTATATGGTATTTTTATTTTAACAAAAATTTTTTTTTGTTAATCTTCACACGAGGATATTTTTACATTAAATTTTTTAGAGAGAATGGAAGCAAAGGGGAGAGGGAGGTAGAGAAACATAGAGGTGAGACACATCAATCGGTTGCCTCCTGCATGTGCCCCCACCAGGGCCGGGATCAAGCCTGTAACCAAGGTACATGTCTTGATCAGAATTGAACCTGGGACCCTTCAATCCATGAGCCAATGCCCTATCCACTGAGCCAAACTGGCAAGGGCTATTTTTAATTTTTTGAGGAACCTCCATACTATTTTCCACAGTGGCTGTACCAATTTACATTCCCACCAACAGTGTACATGGGTTCCCTTTTCTCCACATCCTGGCCAGCATTTGTCACCTTTTATCCTGTTGATAAAAACCATTCTAACAGGTCTAAGTCATTATCTCATTGTGGTTTTGATTTGCATTACCCTGATTATTAGTGATTTTGAGTCTTTTTTATGTACCTGTTGGCCATTCATATGTCCTCTTTGGGAAAGCGCCTATTTAAGTCTCTTCCCATTTTAATTGACTTGTTTTTTGTTATTAAGTTGCATGAGTTCTCTATATAAATTTTGCATATTAATCGCTTATCAGGTAAATAGTTTACAAATATTTTCTTCCATCCCATAGGCTGTCTTTTCAATTTATTTACAGTTTATTTTGCTGTGCAGAAGCTGTTTAGTTGGATGTAGTCCCACTTGTTGATTTATGCTTTTGGTGTTATATCCAAAATATCACTGACAACAACAAAGTCAAGAAGCTTTCCTCCTATGTTTTCTTCTGGAAGTTTTACAGTTTCAGGTCTTACATTTAAGTCTTTAATCCATTTCAAGGTAATTTTTGTTAGTGGTGTAATGATCAATTTAATTCTGCATGTGAATGTTGTTTTCCCAACACCATTTATTGAAGAGACTATCTTTTCCCAATGTGTATTCTTGGCTCCGTTTGTCAAATATTATTGCTGTATATGCATGGGTTTATTGCAGGCTCTTGATTCTGTTTCATTAACTTATGTCTTGTTTTTATACCAGTGCCATACTGTTTTGATTACTATAGCTTTAAAATATAACTAGAGGCCCGGTGCACGAAATTCATGCACTTGTGGAGGTCCCTCAGCTCGGCCTGTGCCCTCTTGCAGTCCGGGAGCCCTCAGGGGCAGTCAGACATCCTTAGCGCTGCTGCAGAGGCAAGAGAGGCTCCCACCACCGCTGCTGTGCTCGCCAGCCATGAGCCCAACTCAGGGCTTCTGGATGAGCAGCACTCCCGCTCTGGGAGCACACTGACCACCAGGGGGCAGCTCCTGCATTGAGCATCTGTATTTTTTTAAAAAAATATATTTTATTGACTTTTTACAGAGAGGAAGGGAGAGAGATAGAGAGTTAGAAACATCAATGAGAGAGAAACATCGATCAGCTGCCTCCTGCACATCTCCTACTGTGGATGTGCCCGCAACCAAGGTACATGCCCTTGACCGGAATCGAACCCGGGACCTTTCAGTCCGCAGGCCGAGGCTATATCCACTGAGCCAAACCTGTTTCGGCTACATTGAGCATCTGTCCCCGGTAGTCAGTGTGCGTCTTAGCAAATGGTTGTTCCACCATTTGGTCAATTTGCATATTAGCCTTTTATTATATAGGATTTGAAATGAAGCTGTGTGATGCCTCCTGTTTTCTTCTTTCTCAAGATTGCTTTGGCTATTTGGGATCTTTTGTGGTTCCATACAAATTTTAAGATTTCGTTTTCTGTGAAAAATGTCAATGGAATTCTGATAGGAGTTGCATTGAATCTGTAGATGGCTTTAGGTAATATGAACGTTTTAAATAATATTAACTCTTTTGATCCACGAACATGGGGTATCTTTCCATTCATTTGTATTTTCTTTAATTTCTTATACTTTCAGGTGTATAGATCTTTCACTTCCTTGGTTAAATTTATTTTTAAATATTTTTTTATTGCTTTTTGATGCTATTGTAAATGGGGTTTGTTTTCTTTATTTCTTTCTCAGTGCATTCTGTATGATGTCATCTTATTTGCCTTATTTATTTAATTTATTAGGTTCATTATTTCATAACATTTAATTATTCCTGAATTCTCAGATGTACTACTTTTAAAAGCATGCAAACTATATGGTCAAGTAAACAATATTTATGAAAATCACTTTAAAAAATAAAATGTAACTAAATAGGACCATTGAGTAAAAAATTAAAGTTAGTAGCATTTTCACTTCTATTATGTGATGGAAAACAAAATTATTGAAAACCAAAATTTGAGTATCTAATATGTATATGAAAGTTGTCAGTACTGCCTACCTCCTTGAACCTGACCTCACTACAAAGAGATTTGAAAAAAAGTGAGAAAAGGAAGGAAGGAAGAAGAAAATTCTATTCCTTTCTCATTTTTCCTTAAATACTTTTGTTACAGAAGAGTCTTCACTTGACCAAATCTTTTTTCTTAAAGACCCTGTGATAACCAGATCTATGCTCTATCTCCAATTATCTGACTAGTCATGGACAGATTATTCTCAGGTGCTAAACTGCTTTTGGAGAAAAAACTTTGTTCCTGTAATTTTCTATTCAATTTCTTCTTCTTTCTTTTTTTATTAAATTTATTGGGGTGACATCCTATATAATAAAACCGTAATATGCAATCAAACAGCAGAACCACCGATCTGTATGATGTGCACTAACCACCAGGGGGCAGATGCTCAATGCAGGAGCTGCCCCCTGGTGGTCAGTGCACTCCCACAGGGGGAGTGCCACTCAGCCAGAAGCCGGGCTCATGGGAGGCCAGTGCAGTGGCGGTGGCGGGAGCCTCTGCTGCAGGCGGGCAGTAAGGAGCAAGGGGTCCCGGACTGTGAGAGCCCCAGACTGTGACAGGGATGTATGACTGCCGGCTTAGGCCTGATCCTGGCAGGTAGAGATCCCCTGAGGGATCCCAGATTGCAAGAGGGTGCCCCCCAAGTGCATGAATTTGGTGCACTGGGCCTCTAGTTGTTTAATAAAATTATAGAGGTTTAAGTGTACAATTCTATAATGCATTGTGTGTTCACCATCCAAAGTCAAATCTCTTTCTGTCACCATATATTTGACCTTACTTTATAACTACATGTAGTTTACTGTATCCTATTTATTTCCCTAAATTTGCTGATCTATATGCATAGCACTGAAACTGACTGTGTGAAATCTGATGGAAAACAATGTAAATGTAAGAAATTAATTTCATATGTGAAAGACTTAAAAAAACCCTCAAAATAGATGGAAAGTGATGCCAATATCAGTGGACATGCTGAAAATTTAATCTCTGTTCCTGTGATAGGGATTACATTTTAGAACTGATCTGTCACCTGTTGCCCTACAAAATAATGAATAAAAATGAGCTTGGTCTTAGAAACAAAGTGATTCACCCATATGTTTTTCATTTGCAAGGGCTGGATATTTTCTGGTGTAAAACTGAAAAAGAAAAGGAAGGACTGAAATAGAGTATGTGAGCTCAGGATGCACAAAGGAGAAATGAAGCTAACAGAAGGGTTTATCAGTCAACTTAAGAACGTACCTACCAAGGGCCTCCCTCTGAAATTCACAGGTTGAGTTTAAAAGAACCACCTCTTTCCTTCTGTTAGGAAGACAAATCTGACGAGAACACATCTAAAGGTCACAGGAATCCCAGACCCATTTGCAAATATACATCTTAAGTTCCTTACTGACCACAGGAATTTGATTGGGTTTGCAGTGGTCAACGACCTTCACTTAGTCCAGGGCACTCTTGACAGTCTTTAGTGAAACAGTCTCAGGGGAAAGTCATAATGAGCACAAGGAAACACACCCCTGCAATGACAGTGAGCCAAGCCCAGACACAGCTGCCGGAGGACCGTGGGCAGCGAGGCTCACTCAGCAGCCTCACAGATCATCCACTTCATGTCTCTCCAACAGCTAAAGTTGGGTCGTTATTGGCCAGATGCTACCTCCGCAAATGCAAACCAACCTTAACAGCAAACACTCTAACAAAAGAAAAAGGCGTGACAAGAGCAAACACTCTCTCCACCACCCTGCCCAACTCACCTTCACCAGGAAAAAGGACACACCATACGTCCGGAGGGACCGGGCGAGTTTGACGTACTTGACCTTGGCTTCTATTTCACTCATCTCTCCACAGTTCTTGTGCTCCTGCGGAAGTGATAGTAGCAGGGACTAGTTATTGCAGCTCCACCAAGAGGTGGACTTGGTGAGAGGTAGGTACTACATGTGGTGCATAGAGTGTGGCTACGACTGACCAATAAGCAACAGTTGTGTAGTAGACCCCTTCACGACACATGTTCCAACTCACCAAGAGTCAGAGTACACGGAAAATTCTAATGCAGTGCTTCTGAACTAGAATTTGAGCCCAAACCCCTACAGATTTCATAACTATAGGCACCCATGCATGCATGTGCAAGATGGCAGGAACAAGCGCCATAATTACAATCCAATTTTCAAACAACCCCATGTATCAAAACCAACACTTTAAAGGAGAGCCAGAAAAATGTCCTTGTCCAGGGAAGGTAGCATGCTAACATCCATCCACAACATACAGTGTTCCAAAGAGCAGGTTACACAAATGTGTGTACATCGTCAGTCTGGGAAACAATACTTGGTAAAAAGTAAATAAATAAATAAATAAGATTTATACACATGAAATTTACATTTCAACTTATATTTACATTTCAACATCAAAGAAGATTTCGATGTTTTGAATTTACTAGAGTGATTGTTTCATGGCAACGTTGACGGCAGAGCTTTTCTTACTGGTTGCCTAGAATAAACAACTCTCTTTTAGAATAAACCTGAGTTTTAAAAAGGTACCACTTCCCAAATTCTAGCTTCAAAAACCAACCTCTGGACAAAGAAGCAACTTGTAGCTTCTTCTCTTGGTGCATTTTTAATGGCAAATCACCTTGTTTGAAAGCTACCAAGATAATACCTTGGAAATTAAATGTATGCACATATTTTTTCTCAGAAGGGCTACGTAACCTTTAGCAAGAAGGTGGGGATTAAGATAATAAATCTGCCAGACGTAGAACTGTCAGCTCCTTTACTCTTGAGACACTCATCATTTAGTATATAAGCTGAGTACATGTCTGGGTTACAAAACTATCATGTATGGAGGCCCTTCTCATACTAATACATGAGGGTAGGGAGTGAGAAGAATGATAAATTCACATTCCCAGTACCTGAAATATTCTCTTTTCAGCTCCTCTTTGCTTGATGTATTCTTTGGGCAGGAATTCCTTTAGACTGAGAGAGAGGAAGAGAAAAAGTACAGCATTTATGTTCTGTGATGAGAAGGAAAGAAAAGTCTTTTCGTAAAACTCACAGTTAAGTCACTAACTTTCCCAGTATTTTCTAGTTATAATTTATAACAAACTGCCACATCCCACAATGCACTGAATAGGACACAGATATAAAACCAGACTGATAAAAAGGGTGAAGCTAACAAAGGTAAATGAGAAAGAGTTTCTAGGATATAATATAACTAGAGGCCTGATGTATGAAATTCATGCAAGAATAGGCCTTCCTTCCCCTGGCGGCTGGCACCAGCTTCCCTCTGGCACCTGGGACCCGGGCTTCCCTCACAGCCCCGGCTTCGTCCAGAAGGATGTCCAGTCTAATTAGCATATTGTGCTTTTATTATTATAGACTAGAGGCCCAGTGCACGAATTTGTGCATGGGTGAGGTCCAGCCAGCCTGGGCCCAATCGGGGTGGATTGGGGCTGGGCCTGTCATGAGGAGGAGATGGCAGGAGGTTGGCTGGATGGCCCACCCTGATCGGGGACCGATCAGGGCCAGGCCAGCTGGAGGAAGGGGCCTCGGGCAATTGGCTAGCAGGCCCCGCCCCCCATTGGGATTGGGGGGCCAATTGGGGGCGGAGCCGGCCATGGGGAGGGGGCTGTGAGTAGTGGGCCTGCCGGCCCTGCCCCCAAATGGGGTGGGGGGTATCAATCAGGGGACAGTGGCCTTGGGGGGTGGGGTCATGGGTGGTTGGCCAACTGGCCCTGCCCCTGATTGGGGTGGGGGGGGCGATCTGGGGTGGGGCTGGGCAGGGGAGGGGCTGCAGGAGGTTGGCAGGCCAGCCCCGCCCCCTACTGGAGTCGGGGGTGCAATCAGGGATGGAGTGGCCAGGGGGATGGGCTGCAGGAGGTTGGTCACCCAGCCCTGCCCCCTATTGGGAATGGGAGTATGATCAGGGGCAGCCCGGCCAGGAGGAGGGGCTGTGGGACTATTGTGGTGGGGCGGGCTGATGGGGGCAGGGCTGGCCGGGGGGGTGGGGGGGGAAGGGAAGGGGCATTTGGCCAGCTGGCCCCACTCCTGATCAGGGTGAAGAGTCCAATCAGGGGCAAGCCAGCAGGAGGGAGGGGCTGCGAGGTTGGCCAGCCAGCCCCACCCCCTGATCGGGCGGTTTGCTTGCCAGTGGGTGTCATAGCAACCAGTCATTATGGCCATTATATATATATATATATATATATATATATAGTCTAGAGGCCTGGTACATGAAAATTAATGCACTGGAGGGGGGGTCCCTGGCCCGTCCCCTCTCACAGTCCAGGAGCCCTCAGGGGTGGAAGGTGACCTGGTGACCAGAGGAAGGCAACGCCCCCATCACACCTCTGCTGCTGCCACTGCCGGTAGCACAAGCCTCCACTGGCCCTGGTTACCTGAGCCTTGGGCAGCCCTGGGCAGCTGGGGGCTGATGGTGGGTCCAGCCACACCAAGCACCTGCCACGCCACCCCCCTCCCCCCGGCTGGGCTGAAAGGACTGGGGGACTCTGGCGGGGCTGAGGGGACTGGGCACCACCATCTTGTGGCTATGGGCAACGCCATCTTTTGTGATGATGTGACAGTCAATTTGCATATTCCCTCTTTATTAGATAGGATAGTAAAGGGTACAAGAGTGTACAGTATGCTATTCTGTAAGACGGGGAGGACAGGATGTATTTTTCATTTTATATTGTTAATGTGTATTTTTAAAACAATAGAAAGATATTCCCAGTACTAATAAAAACGATTCTCTATAGAAAGAAGGGAAAAACAGGGAGAGGGGGACAAGGATAAAAAATAAACCTCTGTAAATATTCCTTATAGCATAGTTGTTGTTGTTGTTTTCATTTTAGAACCACATTAAATTGCAAAGAGGGGCAAAAAGCAACCTAAAAATCTAGAGCAAATGGAAACAAATCAACTTAACAGTATATCAAGTTGACAGCATTACTACAGAGAAAAATGATTTCAGGTAACATTGAAAACAGTCTTTTCACTATGCATCCCTAGTGAGATATACTTAAAGATGAAACGAACCACAGTGACTTGTCAAACACTGACACCATTATTTTGCAACACCCTCCCTCTTCTCTATATATGCAGTCTATAAAAATTAGGATATTATATAACATGTTGTATATAATTAAGATAAAATGAGTAATTACCTTAGTTGTTAGTAACCTAGATTTTTAGCATAAAAGAAGTAAAAATATAAAGCCAAAAAGAGTCCATGAAAACCCTGCAACCCTTCATTTGAATTGGAAATAAAGACTGGCATATCAGATTCATTTTCTTTTTCTGAAAAACATTTATTTTCTAGTTGTGTCCTCTTAGGAGGCTAAGAGCAAGGACAACCTGCTGGCAATAAACACCCCCAGCACCTTGGCTAGGTGGCCTTCAAATACCACTCCCCACTCAAAGAAACCAGAGATCCTCTGAGAAATGGCTGCTTCTAGCCCTGAGCCAGCAAATGTATCAAATGTTTCTGGAGAGGGTCAGGTCAGGGTCAGGGCAGGGCCTGGTTCTGGCTATATTAAGATTTGAATAGTGATGATGCCTGTTCAATTTGCAAACTACCTGTAGACAAAAGCTGTAAGTACATTTCCTGGAATTTCAGGGATCTGGCCCTGTCAAGAGACCCCAAGTCAGTCAGCTGGAAGGATCTGAGAAATATCCCAGCAGCACCCTGGGATGTGATGACTCTCATGAAGCAACTTTGTGGACAGACATGAATGGCTGAGAGAACTGGAAGTCATCCATGTCACAAAAGAGGAAGCTGAGTTCACAGAGAGGTAAGGTGACTGAGCGGAGGTCCTGAGACTTGTTGGTAGCAGGGAGCCTTTGACCTCCCAGACCCAGAGCAGGTCCACCTGAGCACAGAGCTGTTGCAGGCTTTCCCCAGGAGGACACTTGCAAGGACAATGATGCAGTATCATGAGTAGGCCCAGGGCTGTGGGGCTCTGGACAGTAGCTCCTACACCATCAAAAAGGGAGACCCGGCTGAGGTTACCAAAAGCACCCCAAAAAGAGCCCCACGGGAAACTCTGTCAGGATGATGACTGTTACTAGAAGAACAACAGACGGTGTTGTCCAGTGGCCAGGCAGGGATAGAATATGCTGGGCATTTATAACAACAAAGTTCTGTGCAGCAACAAGCTGCCCTTAATGGAAACTCTGCAAACTAACACTCCCATTCTTCAGTAGGTACTGAACCTCTCACGCTTTGGTAGGTACCGAAAACAACTTCCAGTTGCTTACACTAAATGTTAAAGAGTCTTTTGGGGGGAGTTTATTGCGAGGCATTTTAAAAGGTGAAGTGAGTGTGTGTGAACACGTGTGGTGTGTATTTTCCCCGAGGAATTCAGCAGGAAGCTGGAAGGAGCAGCAGCCCGTCATCACCGCCTGCCAGGCGGCGGTACAGCAGGTCCCGCTCAGCAGTTTTCATTACCAAACCTGAGTTTGGAAGGCTCCTAAGCATCTGGGACATTCACACAAGTGAAATCTGCCAGCCTTCCCTGAGAAAACGGGTTAGATTGTCAAACCTGATTGGAAATTTTTCTCCTAATTAAGCAAGCTCTGGACAAGCGAAGCCCCTCCCACTGCCTCCTTAGGCATTCCCATCTTACAAGGGCAGCTGTCTGGAGGCATTCGTTTAGACCAGCGGTTCTCAACCTGTGGGTCGCGACCCCTTTGGGGGTCAAATGACCCTTTCATTTGTAAGGGGTCGCCTAAGACCATCGGAAAACACATAATTACATATTATTTTTGTGATTAATCGCTATGCTTTAATTATGTTCAATTTGTAACAATGAAATTGGGGTCATCACAACATGAGGAACTGTATTAAAGGGTCGCGGCATTAGGAAGGTTGAGAACCACTGGTTTAGACCTTACCCCTCCTTTAAACCCTACTGCCAGCCTTTTAGTATCGCCTTTTCTGAGTGCAACAATAACAGAGACTCCACTCTGTAAGGTGGCAGACCAGTCAACACTCCTCTTGCTCTCTAAGATGCCTGGATGTTGAAGGTTTGCAGTAAATAGATTATGCTCTCATGAGCCCCCACTTCTGCTCTGGTCAAGTCCGCTGTATTTGTTCTCCAATCTTGCTGCTGCTATGTATTGTATGACTATGTAATAACACAACATAGCCCATAAGCTGCTAAAATAGTACAAAAAGAGAGCTAATGAATGCTTCTTATAGTAAATATTTTTAAAAGTTATTAAATTAAATATAGGTGAGATAACTATAAAATCATGAAAACACTGTCTTCATTTTGCTTCACAAATGTATTATTTTACTTTTCTTAATCCTCACCTGAGAACATGCTTAGAGAGTGGGAGATTGGGGGGTAGGGGGAAGAGAGAGAGAGAGAGAGAGAGAGAGAGAGAGAGAGAGAGAGAGAGAGATGAGAGAAAACATCGATCAGTTGCCTTCTGCACACACCCAAACCAGGGATTGAACCCGCAACCCAGGCATGTGCCCGGACTGGAAATTGAACTGGCAACCCTTTGGTGCACAAGTTGATGCTCAACCAATTAAGCCACACTGACCAGGCCATGATTGTCTTTAAATTCTCTCCTAGACGATGTCATTCATACAAGAAAGACAATGTAGAACTCCAATCAGGAGAACCCTCTCAAAGAAGAAACTTGGATTCCGTACTTTAAATAACTTTTTGGATTATCCAACCAACAGTCTAAATAATGCTGATAAAGGGTTTTCACTATTGATAGCTGCCATTTATTGAAAGTCAAACACTGTTTCAGGTGCTTTACGTGTACAAATAGATTAACTGAATTCTGACAAAGCCCTTGGAAGAAAATATCCCACTTTATACAGGGAACAAAAGGCTCAGTGAAACTAAGTAATTTGCCCACAATCATAGCCAACAACTTAAGGCTGGTCTGTGGGCTCCAAAGAGGAGGCTCTTAGCCACTCAACACCCCAGTCCCTCCAAGTTACCTCTGAGTCAACAGAC